TTTTAGTGTTCACGTTTCACAATTTTCGCGAACACACTTGAACTTTTTTTTACATTGAACATGTTATCAAGCACGTAAAAAGGTAAATAAAATAAATAAATAAGCGATTCCCCAATTGATGCTGTTTTACATAACATTTTTAGGGTTTCAAAGCAGATAAAAATCTCCAACTATATTCTTAACACACTCTTTCCTTTCATGTGTTTGCTAAAGAACAAGATTATTTTCTAGGATTTTGAATACCACACCTGTTTAACCCCACCTTTTTTTTTCCCATTTTGACAGTTCGGGTAAGATCATGGTTGAATCAATAATATTATTACACAATATGCTCTTGATTGTGCTCCGGGAAAAATCCGGATTTCTGGATTTTTCGCTAATTGCTTAAGTTTATAAAGACATTAATTTTTTGAAATGCGTCATTAATGATTTTACTCAAGAAACTTGCAGGATTTTTGATTTGGGCTCGCAATCACCCCTTATACTCCTGATTGTCTGCCTATAACTTCTGGTTGATCCGGATTCAAAAATTATAGGAATTATTGACGCTTATTAATTTATTAGTTTGTGCATTGCAGTGTGTCTACCCCTACAATAATACAATTCGAATTCACTAGTATAGAAGACATGTTAACTCGATTCAATGTTGGGGAACCTTTTCATAAATGAAGGTTGACGTTGTCGATAACTACTATCCCCACATATATTTTTTTATTTAAAAAGCTTAGTTTATTTACAATTTTCATAATAATTTTTATAATAATAAATTTCTAATTATTTACATACAACTCCTGTTTATACTTGATTCAAAATATTAGATTAGGAAATACAGGGTTGCCACAGGCTACTAAAATGCGACTATTTGCTACTATTTTCGGCCTTAGGCGACTATGGCGACTTTTTTTGCGTGAAAAGGCTAAAAAAGCAACTATTTTCAGGAATAGGCGACTATTGGGAGACTTTTTTACTCTTAACAAAGTTCTTTTTATACTTATACTTATTTTTCGTAGACCTACTGTTACTTTGCGATTACTGCATAATCGCTGTTATCTTAAACTTTTGTTCTGAACTCAATAGATTAATGAAAATAAAATATAAATTAAAAAAGTTTCTTCATTGGTTTTTTTCAATTATTTTTTATTTTAACCGATACAATTTAATAGGGGTGTTTTGTATTTAATTTTGTTATAAAAAGTTAGTTTTTTTCAAGTTTATTTAATGTAGGTAAGTATAATAATTTGATTATTTTTAAACCAATAAATGTTCAGTTGTTTTTATTTATAAAAAAATTAAAATAAAGCTTACCTTTNTATGTAATTAATGGTGTCATGTAATTTCAGATGTTTCTACTTATGTTATGACTGTGCATGGTATGAAAGCTGAAAAATATAGGGACTATTCTCAATTAGATTTCATAGCAACAAAAGCTACATTTAGGAAATTTATGACATCTGTAACTGCAGATATAAAAAAGAAATTACCCAATTTTTTTTTGGGAATTCCATAATATTAGGTGAGTTACATTGTTACTATATTCTGTATGAAATGTTAAATTTTAATTTTAATGAGATTTCTTGTGATTAAATAACAGTAACTATATTTTTATTCCATTTTAATTTATAATGAATTTACTTAATAAATTTAAAAAAAAAAATATTTTTGCAATAAAAGTGTTTAAAAGATCCCAAGCTATTCAATCCTTTTTTTTTTTCAGGGGGAAGAGTTTAATTTTAATGATTTGAGTGCATTAAATATTTTAGCCCTAAATATTTTAATTTGCTGTAACTATTAGGGAAATTACTTATGCAAATTTCATAAATTTATATAAATTAGTTATCTAAAAACTAATTTAAAATTAATCTCCAATTTTAATATATTATCAGTTATAAAGGTTAAAATGATTTTGGTAACTGTGCATGCTATAATGTTGGAATGTTTATTAACATTAAATAAGACCATTTTAAACAATCTGTTGTATTTCCCAGTTTTCTTCCGTCATAATATTTCAGAATTTTTCTTTCTTTTCTGAAAATATAGTTTGGTTCACAATTTGATGGAAGTAAAATTTATACTGTACGTGAATCGAAGCATTGCTTTATAGGAAAATTCATTAAATGAGAAGCAAACTAATGCAAATTTCAGAAATTTTTATGAATTAATTATCTGAAAACTAATTTAAAATTAATCTCTAATTTTGATATACTATTATCAGTTATAAAGGTTAATATGAATTTGGTAACTACATTCTGTAGTATTTGAATGTTTATTAACATTAAATAAGACTATTTTGAACAATCTATTATATTTCCCAGTTTTCATCTGTTATAATATTTCACAATTTTTCTTTCGTTTCTGAAAATATAGTTTGGTTCACAATTTGATGGAAGTAAAATTTATACTGTATGTAAATCGAAGCATTGCTTTATCTGAAAATTCATTAAATGAGAAGGACATTTATGACTTGCTGATTTCATCTAGAGATAAAATAAAACATTCCGTGAAAGAATGGAAGGATGTTTCTTTTACAATCAAGAATGCAGGTATTATTTACTTGCTAAATTTAGTATAAAATTATTATGGCATAATATTTTATCAGACTATGCATTCTGGTGTAAAAGCTGTAATTTATAGCATAAAATATGTACCCATTACAAAGGCTACTAATTAATTGTTATATATTTTTACTCTATTTTGCTTATTCTTTATTTTGTGTTAAAATTATGGTGCATTTTTTTAAAGTTAAATATATTAAATTTCTCTTATAATTTAGTTAAAACTAACTGAGTGTCTTTGTTACTAAATATATTTTTGCAGCATGTTAAGTATTTTAGTTTGAAAAGTTATTTAAATTTGTAAAATTTGCGAGTTAATGAAAGAAAAAAAATTTCATGGTATTTATGTTTTAAACACTTGATTAATTATCTTTATTTTGTCTGTTATGTATACAAGTTGTTTTTTAATAACATTATTATTATTGTTATTTTTTATTTTATTTTATCTGTTTTTATTTTGTATCCTTTAGTTTAAAAATATTTTGTTAGTTTTAAGTTCTACTTATAAAACCAAAAACCTGTTGCAATTGACAGATTTTTATAACTGAACTATTTTTTACTTTTTAAAAATTAACTGTGATTGTAATTAAAAATGACGACCGGTGGCTGAGCGGTAGCGCTTTGCGCTGTCATGCCACAGGTCCCTGGTTCGATCCTCGGGCCGGGCAAGATTGACTCAGCCTTTCATCCCTTCATTGGGTCGATAAATGAGTACCAAGCATGCTTGGGAACTAAACACTGGGGGTTCTGCGTTCGGCTGACCACCTGACCGGAACATCTGCTCCTACACCCCAGAGCCCTAGGTCAAGAAAACTGAGATGGGCACGGTAGACCTTGACCCTCTATGGGCTGTCGCGCTGCTGAGTTTAGTTTAGTTTTAGTAATTAAAAATTACTGTTTGTGTGTCTACCTAATAATAAAGTCTACCTAATTGACTGAATGAAGGATAGAGAAAATCCATATTGGGTGATTAGTTCTTACCCAACATTCTTAATTCTTAAAATCTAAGACCTGTTAACTAATAAAAAAAAAATAGTATTTTCCCTTGCTCTCATAATATTCACCACTTCTATTTCAAAAGTTGCAAAATGAAAAACATGAAATATGATTTTGAATTGAAAATCTCATAAATTTTGCTTTAATAATTTAGTTTTAATAATATTTAAAGGTATTATTTTATTTTTGTTTTGAACTTTGATTATTAGACTATAATTATTAGACATTGATTCATAAAATTTTTTTTTAATTCTCTATGACATTTAATAATTATCTAGGTAATATCAAAACTAAACAACTACATTATAATTTACAATTTAATGTTAAGCTTTATTTGTTATTTTTTGTATCAATATAAATTTTCAATTTTTTAAGTTCATCATTTAGAAATATAGTTTCAAGATTGCATCAGTACCATATTTTTTTGCTATTTTGCCAGTACGTTATTCTTTTTTAAACTCTTTGATAAATTCTGATCCAAAGCACCTCCTTTTATTTTATTATATTTATTTATTATTTTATTATTTATTTTATTCAACTTTGCGAGCTCAACTTTTTCCCTTTAACTTTTGTGAAAATGATATTTTAAAATTATTAAGTATAAACATTAAAAAAACAGAAGAAAAAAAAACACTGTTTCTTAGTTTCAAAATTCTTAACTTTTATTTAAATTTTTAAAAAAAATTTTTAGAACTTACTTTTTATAAGATTTTTAAAAGAAAAGAAAAAACCTATCTTAATTTTTTTTTAGAAATGAGTTTAACGTATAGAAATAAGGAAGGTATTGCTGGTTGTTTTTGTTTAAGAAAATAAGCATAAATTAGTGAATGGAATTCGTTTAATATTAAATTTCTGTGAATATGAAGTATACTTTTTTATAACTGTTACATTTATAAATTTCATATCTATTATTGTTTTTTATTTTAAAAGGTTTTTCTGTATTTGAATTTCAGATTTTTGTTTTGAAGAAAATGTTATGAGTGCAGAGACAGGTTATGGGAAGGTTTTGAAATGGAAAGGAACCGTTCAAACCAAGCATGCAGTGTCTGAGCCATTATGTTTGAATGGTATTATGCATTTAAAAGTCATGTATAGATAAATAGTTATATGTTCAATAATATTTCTACAATGCACAAGAAATGTACTTTTAATTTTAATCATCCAAATATAATAACTTCAAATATTTGAAGTTATATATAAATATTTTATATTTGAAATAAATATATATGTTATGAACAAAAGTAACATTTTGAAATTTTCATGCCACTTAGTAAAAATAAAATAATATCTTTCTTTTTAGAGTGTGAAGCATTATTTATTTTTATATTAATTTAATTTAATTGTTTTTTGCTTAACAATACATAAAGAAGTACTTCAATATGTCTGTATATAATTTCTGTTTCTATATATATAATTTCTGTTATAGGTTGGAAGCTACAAACTCGCGTGTGCAGGCCTAGCCTTACGATAGGAGCTGATTGGTTACCTTTCAATTATTCCACCTGCACAAAATTTCAACATTCAATTAAAGGTAATTTAACAATTATGTTTTTTTTGGTTTTTCCCTATTTATAATGTTATTTAGAGTTGCAGTTAAAAACAAAATTGGTGATGTGGGTGTAAATTCCCCTAAACAGTTTTTTATCTTCTTTGTATGTAATAGCTTTACATATTGAGCAAAAATCTGTTTTTAATTACTTTTTATTATTATTTGAATTTATGCTTGTTGAAAATAATTTCTGTTATTATTGAAATTTCTTAAAATTTCATTGTGTTATTTTATGTTTTTGTTTTACGTAATGTAATGAGAAATAATTAAATGGCTTTCAGTATATGTAGCCCATAAAGAGAGAAGGTTAAATACTGTAGCACAAAATCAATTCACATATTTAATTAAAATTCATTCCCTTTAGATAAAATGTTCATCACATGAGTCAAGTCCATTTAAATCCATAAGTCTTTATTCAAATTTATATTCTTTAATATTCAACCTCTCAATAGATTAGCTAGACTGAGGTAAACTCTAATCCCTCAGATCAGAGGCAGAGTTGGCCGTTGATTACAGTAATCAATTACAACTGTAATTGATTACAGATAATTACAGCTATGTAATCAATTACTTGTAATCATGATTATAAGTAATCAAAATTTTTGATTACTTCAGAGTAGAGCGAAAATGTAATCGATTACATTTTTCAATTACAGTAATCAATTACTTGTAATCATGATTACAGCTGTAATCATGATTACAATTTTGATTACAGTAATCAATTACTTGTAATCATGATTCCAAGTAATTGCGATTACAAGTAATCACAACGAAAACGATTACGGGTAATTATGATTACAAGTAATCAAAATATATGATTACATGTAATCATGATTACATGTAATTTGATTACATGTAATTGTGATTACTTGTAATCAAACTATACGATTACAAGTTATTACCATTGTATACTATATGCAAATTCATTATGTAAGTATCCATGAGTTTACATATTTTTATGTACATGGAATGTACGCACGCATGAACGTACAATTTGCGATTCCTATACATACAATGTATGCACAAACGTTGTTTGTACGTACAATATTCATAATTATATTGTAATATACTTAATGGAATACGCATATGCTTAGTACATATAATTATGCATTTATGATACATGTACGCATGTATGTTAGTTTGTACAAAGAGGCAATGTTTTGTATCTTTGTATGCATAGACAATGTATGAACGTATATGAAAATAATGTTTATGCATTTGCATGCTTTTATGTACTTAAGTACATATATTGTATAAATTTACGATAATAGCACGTATATACAATGTACGTATGCATATAAAATTGTCCGTATTTACGTACAATATGTAAGAATGTTATTTAAAGGTACAATATATGCACATAGTTGGGTAAATAAAGTGCGTACATGCATACATGCACATTTATATGTACATCGATATATGTACATGCAAAGTATGTACTTATGTACAACGTACGTATGTACTTGTATAATTACATACTTTGTTAATACTCATGCGCATGTAATGTATGGATGTACAAAAAAATAGTTATATGCACAATGTACGCATGTACATACAACGTATGCATGTACATAATTACAAGTAATGTATAAATACATGCATAAATTTAAATATATGTAATTACAATACACACGTACATTGTGCATACATTAAAAAAAATTATATAAGTAAAATTATTAAAGTTTGTTTTAAAATTTATTCTAAGGCATGTAAAACTCAACCTCATATTTTTTAGAAAGCAAACGATAATTTTATTTTAAATTTCTAAATATTATTTCCACACACATTAAATGTACAGTTTTTTTTACCATTTAAAACATTTCTATGAATCATGCAATATGTTATAAAAAAATAAATAAATCTGTATTGTCAAACATTTCATGAAAATACCTGAAAAAAATTTTTTATTCAAAGAATTTCAAAATGATATAGAACAATTAAAGCTGAAAACTAAATTTAAATATCGTTTGATTTTGTCATTTAACTTGCTTGAGTCATTAAAAGTTAACTTACATGCATTTTATTTATTGCATTGTAAACATATTTAGACACAAATGTAATGTGCATATGTATACGTGTAATGTATGTACGCATGTACAATGTATGTACATACATTCATGTATTGCACATGCATGCATAGTACATATGGATATGCATACATGGAACATACGTGTATTGTACATGTGTGGATACATTCATTGGACATATATACATTGCACCATATGCATAGATAGGGATAGCATGCATGTACAAATGTATTAATGTACACATGTAGAATTATGCCCAATATATTTATGCACATATGTACTGTATATGTACACACATATGTACATTATATGAACATTATATGTTCATTTCATCATATGTACATTATATGAATATACATCTGTACGCTATATGTATATACATCTGTACGCTATATGTATATACATCTGTACAATATATGCATCTCAAATGTGTGTATGTACGTACGTTATGCATGTCGAATGCATGTATGAATATATGTGAAATATAAATACGCCCAATGTACGTACAATAGTTCACAAATGTATTATGCATATTTGGATACTTACATTGAGCATGAACATATTATGTACATGTACATAAATACACTGGACATGCATATCATGTACATGTATACATACATATATTGTACATCCTACAGATATACCTATATTGTACATGCATACATATATTGTACTGTTCATAAATAAATTGCACATACATGCATGGGACATACATTGTACAGACAATGTATGTATGTTCGTACAAACACAAGTACTTGTATATACATGCGTACATGAACATAGATATACATTTTACATACACAAATATTTGCATAAAATGCATATATTCATTGTGTATAAATGTACATGCCTACATTGTTTGCACATACATACGTAATTATTATCTATATACATACGTACATATATTTTATACCTACAATATAAGTGTATGTACATGTGTGTGATACTAAAATGTCTGAACATATGCACTAGATAAAATCATATGTACATACATTTCAGTTACATTCATTTGTACGTATACAAATACGTACAAAATGCAGTACATGTTAATACGTGCAAAATGTATCATTATAAAATACATTCTACTATCTACTGTAAAATATAATCATTTATAAGAATACAATAGTCTTGTAATCGTGTAATTAGATTACATGTAATCATAATTACATGTAATCAAATTACATGTAATCAAATTACATGTAATCATATATTTTGATTACTTGTAATCATAATTACTTGTAATCGTTTTTGTTGTGATTACTTGTAATCGCAATTACTTGGAATCATGATTACAAGTAATTGATTACTGTAATCAAAATTGTAATCATGATTACAGCTGTAATCAAAATTTTTTGAAAATTGTAATCATGATTACAAGTAATTGATTACTGTAATCGACTATGTAATCATGATTACAGCTGTAATCAAACTTTGTAATCACGATTACAAGTAATTGATTACTGTAATCAATATTGTAATCATGATTACAGCTGTAATCAAAATTTTTGAAAATTGTAATCATGATTACAAGTAATTGATTACTGTAATCAAAAAATGTAATCGATTACATTTTTGGCCAACTTTGATCAGAGGCATAAAAGCTATCTTTCCTTTTCCCCTTGTCTTCATTTTATCAGACTTAGTTTTTAGTACTGTATAATCAGCTTACTTTTTAATGCAGCTTACCCTTGGCTCAGCATAGCCAATGCCGGCTCTAATTTCTTCAAAGTTTTATGGTTAAATAGGGTTAAAATTAAAAATATTGAAATATTTTTTTCAGTTTATAATTTTGTTTTTCCTGTTTTTGTACTTATATTTACTCACAGCATTTTTTAAAAACTTTTTAGATAACAAATCATCATTAAGAATTGTGCTCTTATTTAAATAGAGTCATAACTTAAATGAACTTAAGTATTAAAACTCGCTAAATTTGATTTTTATTTTAGACATAAATTCTTCTTCAAAATCAATTACAGTTCTGCTGTTTATTTAAAAGTTTTCATAAATTCTGTCATCAGAATTTATATTTTATAGCTATTTAATTTGATTTAAAAAACACCATATCAGACTAAAAATTAGAAAATAAACTGAAGAAATTATGCTTTTTTTCCCTTTCCGTTTTATTTTTTAATATCTGTGTCCAATGTTTTAGTTATCTGTTTTTGTCTTTTTAACCGTACTATATTATTTTGATGTAATCTATTAAAATTTTAATTTTTTAGATCTAGAAATCAGTTGCTCTGGGGATTTTAAAACTTCAAATCAAGGATTGTGTTATAAATTGCATCATAGTTTGCAATCTTGGGATGAAGCTTTGGAAACCTGCAGTAATGTTTCAAGTTATTTAATTGATTTTAATACCTTCCGAGAGATTGCTTCAGCATCTTCATTAGGTACATTTTTTTTGTTTTGCTTACTACAATTGGAAAGTTTAATGAAAGAAAAATCATATTAGATACATTCTGAATATACTTAATTTTTTAGGTTTATGTGCATAGCAATAATTTTTGCTAAGTTTTAATTAAGTTGATTTTAATAGGAAAAATTTGTCTCTTAAGCAGTTTTTGATTCTTTCATCTATTCTAAATTATGCAGGTTTACTAGAATATTATTTATGATATTTTTTCCATTAAATTTTCTAATTATTGTATTCAAACATATTGTCTTTTAATAGTTTCCTCCCTTTCATTTGTTTTTTAATGCACAGTTCTCTCCTTTTTTTGTTTGGATAACATAAACATATTGTATTTTTGAATGTTCTACTTAATAATGTAATTTGAATTCTGGAAAGTTCTTTTTTATTTTTATGATATTTCTAAGCAACAGATTTTAGTACTTTAAGGATCTTGTTTTTGTATTGTCCTCTTTATTATACCTTGTTGCTATATCATTTTAGTATCTTATTGATTTTATGTTATTTAATTTAATTAAAATTGTATATTTGCAAACAAGATGAATTTATTTGGATGTGTTAATCATTTTTAGTCAATTTATTTAGGTTCTATGATTTAGTAAATCTTTAAAATATTTATGTATCTTTTCTTATGTCTTTTACTGTTTTTTTTTTTAGAATCATCTTCATATTGGCTTCCTGTAAAAATTTATCCTAGCGAAACTTTATTTGTTGGTATGAATTCTGAAAATAAGTGGTAACTTCTATTTTTTTCACTTTTTTGTTGCTTTTAATAAAATTTTATGTTGTGAATGTTCAAATAATAATACTTTGAAATATTTTTATAAAAATATTTTATAGTTAAAATAATAATTTTTGTAAAATTAACTTCAGAACTTTTTATATGGGGTATAAAGTACTTCAAAACTAATTTTGCTTTAGAGTGATTTTAAGATTTTAGACTTCTTTAAAGTGATCTGGAATAATAAATATTAATCACAAAAGATTAGGCGAGAAAGATCAATAATGCTATATAATAATAATAAAGATCAACTTTGAGTCTCACAGATTTCTTTTCCTTTTTTCTACTTTTTTACATCTTATTTCCCATTTATAAAATGTTTTTGCAGTCATTGAACATTTATGAAATTTCTAGGAATAATATAATCTTAAGTTTTTTGTTGTTGCTACTAGTTTTTGCTATTGATTAGCTAGTTTTTTTTTGAAATTCTTATGAATAATTTTAAATAATTTTAATTGTTTTAATTTGTTGTCCTTACTTTTATTTTTCAGTTTTAATTATGAAATATTGTTATTTATTTATATGTTATTGCTTATTACTTAATTTAAATTTTCCAAACATTTTTTAACAAAAAACTTTCAAATTTGTGCTTTAAACAAGCTAAGTTTATTAAATAAGAAATAACTATTAATTTTCTTGTTCCTTTCTTTAATTAATGTATTAAACTATTTTGATTTATTTTGTAATTATATTATTGATTGATTAATAAATTACTTATAAAGGACAATTTGCAATTTTTATTGTTATTAGGTAAAAAAAAAAAAACAATAAAAACTTTCACTTTGTGACTTTTGCAGCTTAAGAAACATAGCTGAACTGTACAAGTGACTAGAACATAAACTTTAAAAAAAAAATGTTTTTTTAATCCAATTTTGTTGCACCTTAGTATTCTGTTACATTTTAATATCAAAAGGTAAGGCGTAAAATTAACACTTTTGTTCATATACGAATCATATATTTCACTTACAATTTTTAAAATATTATAAATTAGTTACTAAATTATTGTTCCACTCCAACTTACAGTTTTCTGTTGCTCTAATTTAATACTTTTTTGTCATTGTAATAAAAAACCCACCAAAATCAGTGTTAACTTTTAACAAAGTTAATACTTTTTAAATCTATTAATTTTTGTCCAGATATTGGAGTTGAAGTTATGAAAGTTTATTATTCTGTTTGCATATTAAATTACTGTTAATTAGTTATTTCTTCAGAATATTTTCTTACATATTTTTCTGACATTTATCCAGGATTTATGAGAACAATCAGACATCTTCTTTGAGGAATGATGAAATAGTTTGTGCTGTGGCCAAAGTTGTAAATGAAGTGATTCAATATGATTTAGCTTCCTGCGATGCAAAAATGCCATTTATTTGTATTCATCATCCTTTGAAAGTATTAGAAGGTAATTATTTATTAAAAGTACACAAAATTTTATACTATTATGATGTTTTGGATTTCTTGTTTTTTTATTATATGCATTTTTATATTTCCTTTAATTTAATTAAAACATAATTTTTTTAAAATTATAAATGGAAAACTAATCTGAAGAGTCTTTGTATCGAGTTATGACTGTGTCTATTTCGTGCTACTAAGTAATTAAAATATATATATATATATATATATATATATATAATTTATTGAGGTATTTATTTTGAAGTTAAAATTTTTTACAGCTTTCATGTTTACGAAACAGTGGCATAAGATTGCTGGTGAAGAATCGTGTTATCATATAGAATCAACAAAGAAAACTTGGGCAGAAGCAAATGAAAGTTGTTCAAGTTTACCTTTTAATACAAGTCTGTTACAAAGCATGTATAGTTGGCACAAGTATTCTTTTTTCAAGATCCTCTTGCAAGCTACGCCAGTAAATAAAGGTATCCTACTACGCATTTATTATTAATAATTTTATAATTAATACATATTTTACATGCTAGAAATCTCCAATTATCTAAACTTCAGTTATCTGCATTGTTCCTTTATGGAANATACATATTTTACATGCTAGACATCTCCAAATTATCTAAACTTCAGTTATCTGCATTGTTCCTTTATGGAAAATAAAGAAATTTAAATTGATAGGTACTTTTAAAATTGAATGTTTAAGCAAATAATTTATAACTTTCTTTTAAATAAGGAGAAAACTCTCAGCAAAATGCGTAACACTATTATGAAAATACAAAAAAATTGTTGGTGTGGCCATTAAATTGTTTTTATGTAATTGTGTACCAGTATTATAATAATAGTAATAGATTTTAGAGTATGTTGTCTACTGTCCACTTTTATTTAGATGCCATGGGACATGCCTTTGTTGTACACCTCTCTGCAAAACACTACTTATTATTATATTACCTCAAACTCTTCATAAATTGTATTTATTATTATTTATAAATATTACAAATTTATTTCATATATTTTAACAGTTTCCTCTTGGTGGATGGATTTAATCCAAGAAGGCAATGAGCTACAATCATCACATGACATGGAGTTTGTAGATTGGAAGGCAGGCACTAATTTTAATTTGTCTAAATCTGCTGGCCTTATAACTCAAGATTCCAAGCATGAAAATAAAATGAAATGGACACTGAAGGAACCTTCCTCTAAAGAGTCATCAATATGTGAATTGAGGACTGCTGAATTGATGGAAGATAATGGTAAGAAAATATTTCAGTTTGCGTATTCGGAAAATATTAAGTATTATAAATATTAAATAAGATTCTACAAATTATTTTGAATCTCTGCAATTCGTTTATTAAATATTTGAATGCATGTTTTAATTTCTCCCATTTCATATTGGTTCTTAAACTTCCTTGTTAGTACCTTATTTATGCCTATTAATATTGTTTTTAGTCACAATGGCTCAGTGGTTATGGAAGTAAGTTTTGTGCATAGCTGACCACATTCCAACAATCATGCGACTGGTCACAAAATTGTGGAGCCTTAACATTAATGACTCCATGGCCCACAACAATCTGTTGTGGGAATGTTTTATTTAATATTAGTGTTATTATTTCTTCTTCTTCTTCTTCCTAATCCCCAAAATTAGCAGGGCTAAACAATGTTCATGAAATTCATGACCCGGAGGAAGTCGGCCACCAAAAGTGGGTTTTCTGGAATGTTCCTCTTGCCCAGTCCAAGACAGTCCAGGATATGTTGGGGAGAAGCCTGCATGTTGTGGTACCTGGGGCAGTTTGGGAAGATTTTAACACTACCCTCAAAGGAAAGAGACTTAAGGTGGCCGCTGGTAAGCGCTGTCTGATCCTTGAGGTTGCACCGAATGTTGAGTGCACCTCCTGGACGAGTGCTCTGGTACCAGTGATGTTTGGGGGGTACGAGCCAGGAAACATTGACTTCTTTTTTGATGTAGTAGTACNTTTCTTTTTTGATGCTAGTTCCATGAAGGTGAGTGAATTCGGACTCATCAAAGTTTATCCTGTCCCCTCCTTAGCCAGAGTGTCGTCGATATCATTATTATTTAAAATAACGCAGTCGTGTTATTATTTAAAATAAGCAAATTGGTATGGTTGACAGAATTTTTACTATTGTTAGGAGTTATTACATTTTTAATGCAATTGATAAAATTTTTTATATAAAATTTTTGTTCTTATAATAATTTTATTTAGTTTATGTAATGTCATTTTTATATTAGTCTACAAAAATATAATGAAATAAATTTAGATTTAGAATATATTGATTTTGTATTTGTCAAATTGATGTAAAGAATTTTTACTAACCTGTTAAAATTACTTAAATAAATTGAGTGTAATAAATGGGGTCTGTTTCTCACTATACAATCAGTAGCTATAAATAGAATTCTTTTAAGAAAGAACTATTAGTTATAAATGGTAATCATCATTAGTATCTCATAGAATATGTCTTTTGAATTTTAACTTTAAGTTCTGCCATTTTACCTATTTAAAAATTATTGTTTTTAAATATAGTAAATCATAAGGTTATATGTAAAATTATTATTTTTTTGTGCAAGCTAGTCAAAAATAAATAAAAATAAGGAATGAATTAGAATTTTCTTTTTTTTAATGAAAACTTTTTTAATCTATTGCTCAAGGCCGAAGTATCAGATTAGACATTTATGAATGTTATTGGTATTAAATTTTGACTGAAATTTCGAACATTACTATTTTACTAATTGTTTAAATATTTATGTTAGCAAAATGCTCTGATTATTTTTATAATAGAGATATTATTTTAATATTCTTGAAAATATTTATTTTTTAAGTCCATGTGTATAAGTTGGTATGAGTTTATTTGAGACCTATATTTTATTTTAGGTCCTACACATGCTTATATTGAAGATCGAACACTGCCTCTGCATTCTTCTACCAATTTTGAAGAATCAATATCAAAATTTGATTTCCGTTGTGTTCCTAGTGGCTGGTTTCTGTTAAATAGTATTTCTTGGTACAAAGATGGTGATTATTTATCACCTGGCTTTAATACTAGTCGATTAACTTTATTTGTTGAATCTCACTCAAATTTAGAGCACATACTTTCATACCAAGGCTATTATTGGTGTTCTGTTGATCAATTGTTTCCTTTAAAAAGAATTTATTCTCCAAAAGTACTGTACAGAATGCCAGGTATGTATATTGTTTTTGGTGGTAAATATCACAATTTTCATGTAGGCAATAAAATGTTTCTGTTCATTGTGCTGCTATGTAGCAGATCTTGTAAAATACCTATCTGAAAACAATACTAAGTAAACAGCTTGATGTAAATATCTCGCCTTATACAGTATTGTTTATCACTGTATTGTGTCAAGCCCTTCACATGTTCTTCATTAAATATATTTTATATGCTTTTCTTTATTTGGGGTTTGTATGAATAAAGTTTTATATTTTTTATCTTTGAATAAATTTAGTAAGAACAGTTATTATATGCTTCTTTTAATGTCACTAATATTGAATTTTTATGAAAAATACAAAATTTAAAAAAAAAAATTCTTTCAAAATTTTTTGGTGAAATTTTATTTGGTATAATATAAAATTACATAAAGCTTTATGCATTGAAGAGTAATACTAAAGATGCATTCATTTTGCTTTAGGATGAAGCCTGCTATCTCTTTTTTTTTCAATCTGTTTTATATATATAAGCATAAGAGATGTCAGTTTTTATTGGATTTGAAATTTTTTTAAAAAAAAGGAAAAGAAATATGTTTTTTTAGGTTTTATTCTAACAAGACAAGTTTAGAAATTTCCATTTGACAAATTTGATGATTAAAATTTTATTTCAATTGTAACAAAAAATATGTTTAACTATATATCGGTCAATCAGTTTAATGACAAAGTGGATATTTTTTTTGTTGCTTTTTTACAATTTGTTCTTCATGAGAAAAAGTTTTATCATTTCTCGTATGCATAATAAAGTTAGATTAAGGTACAATTTTTAATATGTGATTAAAAAATTATTAAAAGTTTGTTTTGTAAAAAATATTTTAATTAAATAGGCTGACAGAGGCAAATTTTTTAGAATCTTTTTTAAAATTTTAATACTTTCATTATTTGAGTAATTATACATTCTTGTAACTAATTAAAAATTATCAATCAAGAAATCAAGAGTTTTAAAAGTATACCTATTTCATTTTGTTGTTATGTTTTTTTATTCAATATTCAAGGGAAATTATAATTTTTAACTTCAGTTCCAGCTAGCACATCATTTAACATTAAAGTAATATTTTTTATTTCAGTATCAAATTTTGTTACCTCAACATTTGTAATTTCATTATAATTTAGTTTCACTTTAACTTCAAAAGAATATGATTCAAAAATGCTAACTGTTCTAAAGCTGTATTTTTTTTTTTTTTTTTTTTTTTTTTTTTTTNTTTTTTTTTTTTTTTTTTTTTTTGTGCAATATAGTTTTTGCTTTTTTTTTTTTTAGCAAACAAAATTTTAAGAATGACTTTTCAAAACACTTTAATTAAAGGAAAATTGAAATTATTTTGGTTATTTCCATCAAATGCTATATTTTATTTTATACTCAAGAAAATTAAGGATGAATAACAAGATTTAAAAATAAATGCTTATTTTTTAAAGCATAATCTATGCAGAATTAATTTTTATATTAGGTATTATTTAGCATAATCTAACCAATTTTTATACTTGTTAGTTTGTAAGCAATAGGTTTAAAATTTCTTTGTATCAATAGGTGTTTTATTTTTTTAAGAATTTACTTTCTATTATTGTAGTCAAAATATTAAGTTAAATTTAATAGTTCATTCAAAATAAGATGAAAAATTGTTTCAATTATGAGCAATCGACAAAACTTTTCATTTTCTAAAAGCTTAACTTTTTTCTTCTTCTCCTGTCAGTTTCAGAATTTTTTCTACACTTAAATGATTTAGGAATGTGTATTGATATAAAATAAACAAAAATAAATTTTGAAAATATAACTAGCAAAGTATTAGCCACACATTATAATTGATAAAGTGTAAGTGATTTATTCAGATTTAATAACTTTTCACTTTTTTCTAATTAAACAATTCATGCAATTAATATATTTTTCACTTTTGCTGATATGAAATTACAATTTACTAATTTGCATGTTTAAAATTATTATACTACAATTTAGAGCTAACAGTATTTAGTATTACATGAATGAAACCTTAATATTTTCAGGTGTCCATACTTTTATTTTGGCTCTTTATATGGATGAGGATCTACAACATCATTCTTGTTTTAAAGTTAGGACAGAAACACAACTTCCGCCTGATTTTTTGCAGTTTTTTAAAGATGAACTTCCAGAAAGCTTTTTGCATGCCCAAATAAGAAGCAAGTCCTGTGATAAGTATGTGCTAAATTAATATGTTCTGAGAAATAAAATTAAATACATTTGAGTATAATTTGAAGTGATGCTCTATGTTGCATAATATTACCCTAAGGGAGGTTAAATTCATATGATGGAATAGTTTTCAAATGAAGTTTAAAATTGAGTTTTCAGATGAACTTTTGATCCGATGAACAATTAATATTATCTATGCAAATACAGTTTCTGTGTTTCTTTTTATTTTGGGTATTTCCACAGAGGATGGTTCTTTTGTATGGTACTAAAATGGCTTTCTTTTTTTCAACTGTATTGATATGAGCTTTTTGTGTTGTATTTAATTTATTTAAGTTTCATAATACTCATAAATTTCTAAAATAAATGTTTTTTTCTTCAAAGCTTTTATTCTGAAATGTTAAAGTAAACATAAACTGTACATTAATATTTTTCTAAGAAATATGTTCAAATTAGCATTAATAGATCAGACAAAACTTACAAACAATTGCTGTAAAAACAATTTTATTACCCAAAGTATTTCTTATCTCATTCAAAAATAAGGAAGATAGTTTGTAAATGATTCTGAAAGTTTTAATTTTAAAATATATTGCATTCTTTTTTTCCTTTAAAGTGTTATTATTCATTTATTTATTTGTAAAGCAAATTAAGACCCATGAACTTGTTTTGAGAGTGAGTAATTATTTTATGTCAATGGTTTGTATGCTGAGCCATAATGGCTCAGGGGCATTCGCCTTCCAATAAGGTGAACCAAGTTCGAATCCCACCGATGGCTGATCGATACAAATATGCATCCGGCTTACACCCACCACAGTGCTGACGTGAAATATCCTCAGTGGTAGACCAATCATGTATTAGAATCCCTTTACCATCAGGCTAACCGTGGGTGGTTCTCTTGGTCTTCCTCTTCATGTAACGCAAATGAAGGTTAGTTCCATCAAAAAGTCCTCCATGAAGGCAAAATTTCTCTCAATACTTGATCCAAGACCAAGACTTACCTAGTTTTACCCTTCTTTGTGTATCCAAATTCTAAGTCACTAAAAACATTTTATTACATTATTTAAGAAATATTTCTATAAAAAACTATTTTCAATTTTTAATGTCTGCACTTAAATAATCTTGATTAATTGTGCTACTCATTTTACTATATATAATAGTGTGAAAAAATATTGGCTGCATTAAATTTTTTTTTATAATGAGATACTAAAAAAGTCTGCTGTGATGATGATGAATTTTTTGCAAACAACGTTCGCATGTTCATGTGTATTATGCAGGTTTGCTATCATTTTGTAAAATCTTTTCTAAAGACGTTACAAATTTGTAGCTTTGCGAGCTTTATTGGAATGAAAGTGGTTTTTCTTTATAAGTAGCTTTTTTTAATAAATATTTTATTTTAATTTCTAATAATAAATATTTTACGTATTTTCTTCATTAATTGGTTTCATTTACAGTAAAATACTTCTATATATTTTTTTCAATATCATTTCTTATTTTGATTTTAAAGTTGTTTTTCTATATAATAATCGTACTAATTATCTTATTTTATAATGAACGATTGTTTTCAATACAAAAAATTTTTTCTGATAAGAAATAATTTAATTACAGTTAGTTACCTAGTACATCATAAAACTTGTACCTTTTTATGACTTGAATTGCAGTCACAAAAATTTTAATTTTTATTTAATTAGTTTTCTTTATCTTTCCTTTAATTTTCATGAAACTAATATTTTTCTTTTTTTGTCATAGATGCATTGGTTAAATTATTTTCTTACTACGTTATCGCTTTTAATGTGTGGCATATTGAGTCTGCTGTATGATTTTAATTTTTTATATTTGTTATTTTTTCAGCAAAGACTTGTTCATACATCTATATTTCAATGGCACAGTGAAAAATGAAAATATTATGTTAAGAAATATTCAAACTTCGTTTTATTTACACAGAACAGCTATCAATGCTTATCTGAAAAAACATTTCAACACAAGCAGTTTTCTTTTAAGAAGCACAGGTGTGTTCCCATTTGTCTGTTATTTTGAAATGTATCATATATGAACTTATTTTTGAATAACTTATTAACTTATACTGATTGTTTTTATAATTGTTATTTGTAAAATTGCTTATATTGCTCATATTATTAAGCTTATAATGTTATAAATCTCTTAAATAGTTGTAAGTAAGATTTTGTAAATAATTTAATGAAATATAGTTTTGTTTATTATTAAAATATTTTTTTATGTGCTTCCCTTATGTTTTCTAAGAAGAAAAGTGATAAGAAATTCTTAAAAGTTGGGTTCAAAATTAAAAGGCTATGGAGTAGAATACTGATAATCTCAAATCTAATACAGAGCTGCCACTATACAGGGAGAATAGGGAAAACCTGGAAAATACAGGGAATTAATAAGAGAGAATTCTCTTTACAAACTGGGAAAATACAGATAATTTTATTTCTTATTTTTGTCTTTTAACAGTGATGACCACTCAAAGCGCAATCTATGGGATATTTATGGATGATATTTGAGCTATACTAAACTATTTCATTTACTATAGCATTATATGTTTTTAGTATGTAGAGTCGTTCCTTATTTCTTAAAGTTTTTTCTAGCAATTAAAACTATATTTAGCCCAATATAGCCCACTCAAAAGTACAGTGATTGTATGTTTCCTCATAATATATTGCAATTTGTTTGCTGAATTGTATCTTATCAAAATCAAATATTACTTTATACTTAAGATTAAAGAAATTTCAAAGTACTAATTTTAAATGGATTGTAAGACAATACTACCATTTTTTTACAAAAGTGAGGCGCAGAATTATACAGCTACAGAAGCACTTGTTACAATTATATGTTTGTATTAAACCTCTTGTTAGAATTTTTTTTTAAAAATAAAATTGATAATAATTTCCAAAATTTTATTTATTTAATTTAATGAGCATTAATTTGATAAAACCTAACAATTGATAAGACTAAAAAAAGTTATTGATTTTTTGTTGTTGTTTTTATCTTGTTAAATTTTACTTTTTGGGTTATAATTCAAAATTTTACTAATTTATAAAAAATTTTTAAATTTTTTTTTGAAACTTCAACATTAGAATGTTTTCTAAAACCCACATTTTAATATTTTATTTTTATTTCCAGTAAGATGTTCTGAAGAACAGACTCTTGTAAGTGAAATGGTTTTTACCTGGCCTACCACACCCTTAAAACAATTTGCAGTGTCTAAAGAAATGTGCACAACAGGTAATTTCTTATTTAGGCATTTTTCAGATATTAACTACTTTCAACTCGTATTTTTGTTTTTATATTTTATATTTCTTAGTTTTTATGGATTATTATTTGTTATACCTTTAATCTTTTTAAGATTATAATTGAAATATCTGTGGTTGAAATTAAAGCTTATTATGTGGATTTATAAATATCTTTGTAATTAAACAAAAATTAGTTTTAAAAATTTTTTTTGGACTGTAATAAAAAAAAAAAGAACTTGTAAACTTAGTCTGAACGTATGTTTTTGCTATGTGGAAGAAACTGCCTTTGAAATTATAAATAATGTTGAGTTAAAATATTTTATTTCTGGCTTAAGATAAAAGATTTCACTATCTTAAAAACATTTTTAATTTGTTTTAAACACTTGAATGAGTGAAAAAGTTTATTTTCATAAGTATAAAACTGCATTTCCTTATATAAAATGTAATAAAAATGGCTTAAATTGCAAAGTAACTATTTTCTATTATGCTAATATTTTTGTTTTAATTGCTTAAATTAAATTATAAAAATGTTTGCAATAAATTTTTTATTAAAGAAAATGCAATTATTCATCAGTTTAATTTATACTTTATGAAATAAATTTTTTTATTTAATATATTTTACAATAAAATATATCAATACTGATAATACAGAACAGAATAAATGCTGATAAAAATATGGCATTTGTTTACGTCTTATTGAGTGTTTAAATTTATTTTGAAATTGTAATTTAAGTGAAGAATTTTTTCCAATATAAGTTTTAACATAATGTTTTGCACAATCTACTTATCTCAAGTAATGTTACATTCCAAAAAAAAATGAAAAGTGACGGGAATTTTTTTTCAAATATTGTTTTAGAATTATTAAGTAAGAATTTTTAAATTTTTTTGTTATTTTAATTTTTTATAATCTTTATTAATCCATTTTACAACAGAAGAAGGTATTCCTCTCAAAAGACAATGCATGGGAGACTTTTCTGTTGGAGCATTTTGGGCTCCAGTTAAAGGAAACTGCGTTCCAGTTCATTCAGATATCACCATACATTTACATAGATTAGCATCAGTGAGTATTTATTTAATGAATTCTTTTTGAAGTTACCATTTTTTTCCCTATTGAGTAATAAGCTCATGTTAAATTTTTTATTACTGATTGACACATTAAGTTTTAAGCATCACTTGTATTTTTTAAATAATTTTATGACACAGATGCTTGTAATACATGTTATGTCTAAAAAAATAAAAATTAAAATTCATCACTATTTAAAAATTATCTTTGATGATTTCAAATATAAAAGGCGGATTAATTGGAGTCCAATAATATAAAGGCTTCATGTTTTGTTAATTTTTATTGAGCTGTTTTATCAGCCTTAAATCTTTATTTCGTCTCTTTCTTAATTTATTGAAAAATTGTAGTGTTTGTATAAAATGATAATTTAAACACATTTATGCTATTTTGTTTATATTTTTGAGATTTTTTATGATAGACTCGTGTCAAGCTTTTTGCTTGAGTTCTTTTGGGTTCTTGGGGTATAAATAGCATTAATTTTAAATATGTCTGAAGTATTTAATTTAAACCAAATTTTAATTTAGCTTGCAATTCTTTCAGTCTTCTCATAATAAAAAAAAAGTCTTGGTTTGGCATAAGAGATATTTTCAATGATCACTAATACTTGAGTTAAAGTATGAGCTTTGACTTTACAGTGTGCCATGCATGAAACATTCAACATTTTTGAGTTTAATTTTAATTTTAAATTGAATTTAATCAACTTTTACTAGCTAGCAATCGATTTACTAAAGAAATAATTGTTAGGAATTCATTATTTATTAAGCATTTATAATGTTTGGCCATATTTACAAAGAGAATCTCTTACATAATTCCACATTCTTAAAATCAAACATTTGTGGAAGTTTCGTACTCTAAAGCTTTCCCATATTTTAATAATGTTGCTACAGTTAGTAAATAATTTTTTATGTGGTAAAATAATTTAGGTAAATTCTGTTCATTGTTATTGTAAAGAAATATAAATAAGAATTTTTTTTTAAAACTTCATTCCTTATTATAAATAAATTTTGCTTTATATTTTTCAAGAATAATATCACAGAAGAGAATATTTTGAATTCATCAATTAGTTTCCTGCAACTGACAACTAATCCTAATAGTTTGAATTCTGCTGATATCCACTATGCTTCTCAAATTCTGAAAAATATGGCTGATGTTTCTTCAATTGCTATAGAGGTAATACATTTAAAAAGAAAATTATTTTACATAGTTACACCATAAAATATGATAATTTATTTTCTCATTTAATATCTGTATTTTGCATCACTCATTCCAATCTTTCTGCACCTATTATACACTTGGTTAGAAGGGGAAAATAAGAGAAAACCACTGAAAAGGAAGACATGAAAATGTGTTGGTTCATGTGGGACAAGTTAAGAAATGTGCCATGCCACAATGAGAGATCTTGACCACAATATGCAGCCTTACAGCATCATTCCACTTTAAAAGACCAGTATTTGTTAACATAAAGACTGGAAGAAATTGATTTAGAGAAATCTATTTCTATCAATCCTGCAACCACACTTTCTAAAGTTTAATCTTTCACTCACAAACTCAAGCTTTAGTGCATACATTACCCCTTTGGAATTTTAATTTAAATAACGTAATTTTTCGACAACTATTATTTTCAAATAATAGTATTTTTTATTAGGTTTCAAGTAATAGTATTTTTTTTATTAGGTTCATCAAAGGTTTAGTTAGAGCTTGGGCTAATGGTGGGATGTATTTTTAAAAGGAGGGTAAAAATTTGTTTATGACTTGAATGTCCAGCCATGACCGTTTTCCAGATAGAAGTTTTTTGTGGATCATGCACTGATATTGTTGTTGAGAGATCTTGATGGAATATCATTTAGAAATTTTTTCTTTTTTGTAAGTTGAAAGTTTTCATATTCAAAAACATATTTTAAAGAGTTAACTGGAACACACACGAATGACAAAATGCATGCACGAAATGAAAGTGCTTTTGTATTTTCATTTCATGCAATGGAATGAATGTGTAATTAGCACACTATTAGCAAGCCTTTTCTCAAAACAGAATTTTGCAGAACAGAACTTATTGCCTTATTCATTTGATTTAACGAGGAAGTAAATGTTCTGACAATTTTTCTACTCAAAATTTAATACTCAACTTTGAGTTAGTTGATTGCTATTCTAATGAGTTTTTCATTTAATAGGTGTTGGATAACATTGTTTCAACTTTAGATCACCTTATTCAAGCTGCAAATGCGATGCAAACTAACAGCTTATCTTCATCTAATGTTTCTAATGAGTAAGATTTTAAACTCTATAACTTTATTATTTTTCTTACGATACTTACGTTTTCATTATTTTTTTTTATGTAAACAAATTATGCATTTTTCTCTTATTTTAAATTCTTTCTAATTTATTTTAATGAATTAAAAAGGAATGTAACATTATGGAACATTAAGAATATGTATTTTTTTTTTAATGCTTATTAAGTTAAAACTACTTATCTTTTTTCTTAAGTAATTCAAATAAATTATAAGAATAAGTAATTCAAATAAATTTGTATTAAGCACATATTAATTATACAATTTATTCATCAATGTAACATAGTTGCTTATTTATTTCCTCATCTTCTCTTCAATAAATAAACCAATTTAAATGAAAAAGTTCTTCAGTTAAAGAAATTTTATAAATTTCGTAAATACATACAATTGTGATGTTTCATATGTAACTCTAAATTTGTTATGTCTAAAATTTTAAATAATATAGTTTTACTCACAGTACTTTTTTTGCCTATGTGTTGTATTTTTATTTTTATTTACTTGCAGGCTATTGAATATAAGTTTTAAGCCTTTGTGTATATGTAAAGATATAGATAGAAGAGTTATCTTTGTGTTTAAGTAATTAAGTAGAAAGCAACATATTAAGCAGAATTATTAATACCAAATAACTACTTTTATTTGTTAAATTGTTTAAAATATGCATTACGAGTACTCAACGTTGTCTAGCAATTGTAAAAATGTCTAGCAATTATCGTGCAATTGTCTAGCAATTAGCAAATGTCTAGCAATTATAAAAAAATTTTGAATTTCTTAAAAAAATATATGGGAAATTATAAAATGGTTTTGATGCTACTGTTTTTACTTGATGTTTCTAATTAAACTCTCATAATGTGGGGTTTTGTTTTATTAAAAAAAAATTTTTTTTAATTTTGTGACCAACGGAAATTTTTTTTTAATGATTTAATTTAAAATAAAACAAAACACTGTGCTGTCAAAAGTCAGCAATATCAATTAAAAGCATTAAATTCTTAATGAATTTCTGATCACACTAAATTTGGAATAAATTTCTGATGAAAAATATTTGTTGAACTGAAATAATTATGAAGTTACTTTTTTTTGAAAAATATTGCTGATTAAACTCTAGTAATGTATGGATTTGTTTTTATTCTTCAGAATTTTTTTTTTAATTATGTTGCAAACAAGTTTGAAAATGTTTGATCAAAATTGAAGTTCACTAAGAAAACTTGCCCTACTGAAGTATACATGGTTTTAATTAACTAAATCAATATATATGTATATATCTCACTGAATTAGAAATAAATTTCTGGCAAAAGTATCTTGGTTAACTGAATTGTTTTTATAGCTACACCTATTTAATTTGATACTACTGATTAAACTCTGCTGATGTGGGTTTTCTTTTTATTTAAAAAATACTTAATTATGTGACCAACAAATAAAATTTTTAATTTAAAAAAAATGTATATCAAAATAAAGGTTTAATTTATCTGTATCAAATAAAAATAGGCTCACTAAAATAACTGAATTTCTGAAAAAATTATTGCCTATCTAGACTAATAATTAAGCTCTGATGTGGGATCTTTTTTTATTTAAAAAAATATTCATTTGTTTAATCAACAAATAAAATTTTTAAAGTTAAAAAAAATGTATAGGAAAAGAAATTAATTACAAGATATAATTCATTCATATCAAATAAAAAATGGCTCGCTTAAATTGAAAATCGCTTACTGAGTTTGAGATGAATTTCTGGAAAAAAATATGCTAAAAAACAAAACTGTTTTTGTTGTTATTTTTTTAAACATTTAATATTGCTCATTAAACTCTGGTGTTGTGAAGTAAAAGTTTAAGAAATTGTGTATTTAAAGTTAATATTTTATAACTTAATATTTTTAAATGTTTATTTTAGATTAATTGCTTCATATGACAGCATAGTTTCCAGAATTGAAACTGGTGATCAAATAATCAAATTCGCTAGAAATAATATTGCTCTCAGCATAATTCCTTTGAACACTTTGGAATATAGATTTACTACAGGAGGTATTCTGGAAGATTGGAATATGAACATTACTACTCTCTATAATGGAAGTGAAAGACAATTGAATAAAGTGTTTGGAGACTTCGAAGCTGGAATTGTCTTACCAGATTCCTTGGTGGTGGAAAAATATGCTGAAAATACTAGCAAACTAGCTGTAACTATACAACAGAGCTTTCATTTTGTGAAAAATATTGCAGTTGTAAGTCCATTGATCGCTGTTTCTCTCGGAAATCGACATATATATGATGTTAATCCTCCTATCGAGATGATTTTTAAAATTCACGAGGTTAGTATTATTTGCTTGAATAACGTTAATTGAACTTCTATGATGAAATAATGAAATATTAATTACATTGTGTCTAATAAATATTTTAGGGAATATTTATTAAAACTGTGTTTGAGCCTTTTTAATAAATTTCTTTTATGCTTCATATTTAGTGATTAGTGTATGATCTATTAATATGGTGATGCAGTGAATTCTTTAGGGAGCAACTACTCTTTGTTCTACAATATTTTCTTAAAATGATCGTTAATGGAGGTTGGTCATTCTTAAGGGTTACCTCCATTGACTTTAAAATGTTATCAAAGGTGCATGATTTTTTGCAAGCGATTTTAATTTTAGTTAGTGTCATTTCCTTGGTGTGGAAATGTCACTTGTATTGGCTTCATGAAAACCAGATCAGTGAATTAAATTTGGCATCAATAAAAATTATTCCTATTGATGTAATTATGAGTAAAAACAAATTTACTTATTATGAATAATAGAACTATTTTGAATAAATTTACAATTATGTTTTTTGTTTAATTTTGCTTTTAATTTTATGTCATAAAAATTAGTTAGCTTTAAAAACTGCTAACAGGTTTGTTTATTTAAGATGCTTAGTTTTTTCTAAAATAACTTTTTTTTCTTATTTAACTAAACTTCTCTAAAAATAAATCATTGATAGCATCGTCTTTAGTGCACTCTGACTTCAACATGATGTTGTAGATCTCTTTCAGAGATCGTTAAAAAGAACTCTTTGAATCTCACATAAATATTTTGAATATCTCTATATCTAAAAGCATTACAATTTTCATGCTGGCAAATTGATGTTTATGTTTGTTGTATCTTGATGTAAAAATGCCACTTATTGACGAAGTGCGGCTGATCTTTGTAGTGCTCCAAATCCACCATATTATTATTTTTTTTTGTTCATAAACAAGTTCAACTATGTGTTTTATTCTTTAAAATAAAATGAATACAATTAAGTTGATTATTTTTGCAATTTTTGTTTTTCAACAGGTAGTTGATGCAGGTAATGAATCAGAATATAAGTGTGCTTATTGGGATGAGCAATTAAATGAGAACTTTGGTGGGTGGTCTTACAAAGGATGTTTCTCTCAGTTGATTCATGATAACCAAATGCAATGTTTATGTGATCATCTTACCAGCTTTGCTGTCATTCTAGTAAGTCTAGGGCTTTGTAAATATTATTTTAAATTTTTTAAATAAAATTAACTTGTTGTTATTAAATGTGAGAGGTCTCTAACTTATCTATCAAAAGATCGTTATTTGCCTAACAAATACATAGTTAAATCACAAAAAAGATTGTGAATGTTTCTTAATCAACCTATCTATTTTCATACTTCGCACACAATGTTACTTTGAAGTATTTATTGTTCTGAAACTTGTGTTCCCTGTTCTTTAAGATGTAGTTTTATGTAATGAAATTTTTTGGGTTTTGTAGGTTTTAAAATTATAAAAACTAACTTTGGAAAACCTTTTAATTTAATAGTACAGTGTGCAAAATAAAAAATCGTCCACCCTGAATAACTTTTGTTCTAATGATCGGATCTTCTTGTTCTAGGAATCAATCCTAATGGTTCCTCAAATATACTAATTAATTAGTGCAGATGATATTTTAAATTATGAAACCAGACGTAACAATGTACTTTCTCTGAATAAACATACCTTTTCTTTGATGGATTCGGATCCGAAGATAATATCATGCAAAAAAAAAAAAAAAACGTTTAGTAATTATTCTATATTTTTATTATTTTATTTAATAATAGTCACAAAATTTTCTTAATTGTAAGATTTATAATTTCTTACATTTTAAAGAATGTAATTTTGGATAACAAAATATAACATTTGGGTGTAGGTCGAATTGTTCCTGAGAAATTGAATTTTAAAAATGCAATTTTTTAAAAATTTGGTTTCTCAGGAACCATTAGACCAATTTCACTCAGATTTTGTATTTTGCCATGTAAAATTACATTCCTTAAAAAGATATAAAAATTTGTATATGTTACAATTTAATTTTTTTAAATTACTATTAAATAAAATAATAAAAATGTGCTTAGAGTTATATTTAGCAGGGAATTATGTTTTAATAAACCAATTTTAGAATTGTGTGTAAAAATGTTTCAATTTGCTCAGAACGTTCTCTAAATATGATGAAACAACGCTTGACTGGAAATGTGGCTATTCTTACTTGAAGGTAATCTTTCTATGATGTATAGAAAAAAAAGAATGTTGCAATACCTACTTGTAAGGCACCGGGAATATTCTCAATCGGTCATTTGTCAAAAATCTGAATAAATGTTTGATTTATATTAACTGACCTCAGTGACTAGATTTCTATTATCTTTTTTTAAACCCATCAAATGAAAAAGAAAGAAATTTCCAGAGGGTAAGGGGAATTGAGAGCTTTTAATGCATCTTTTCTATTTGTGGGGTTTCTAACCTGTTTTGTCCAGATGAAAAGATCAAAAGATGCCACCCTGAATTATTTCACATGATCAGTATCATTTTATCTCATTTCTTTGCAAAGATAAAGGAAGGTGATAGGATAATGATTGATTCTTAAGTAGTGAAACAGCATTTGTTTAAAATATACAGTAAAACCTGTTTTTATGCGATGGATAGGAACCGCATGAAAGAAATAGTAAAAAAAAATATTCGAAAATTTTATAAAAACTTACATATAATAAGCAACTTTGTACGATATACTACCTAAAATGTTTTTTGTGCGGTGGATAGGGACCGCATAAAAAACCGCTTAGAAAATACATCAATGATTAATGAAATAGATGAGAGAATGCTTTCAATTAAATAAAATAATTAAATTAGACCTAAAGAAATTGTAAAAATATTTAATTCGTCATTGTACATATACATAGAGAAGTTTTCAAATTATACATTAAATAGTTTGCTGCTACTCGTCGTAATCCAAAACGCAAATCTTCTTGTGATGAATTGGTTGGAAATCGCTTTCGTCGCTTGAAGATAGGATTTGAATTGATTTGTTTTTTGGTACCATAAAGTCAGTGATCAGTTTTTGTGACGACGGTCAACTGGTCAAGGAGACCACGTAATCAGAGTTCGTTCACAACGTGTATGTGTACATTGATAGAATACATTAAACTGGTGCTACAGTCGCTAAGATTCATATACCGCATAAAAATAAATCACACAAAAAAAATCGCAAAAAAACAAAATCGCATAAAAAAGAACCGCGCAAAAAACAGGTTTTACTGTATATATAATTCTTTTTTTCTACCATTCACAATTTAAATAATTTTTAATGTTTTTAAATTTTATTTTTTTCAGGAGCTAAAACCTGGAGATCAATTGTTAATTGGTCACGAAATGACTTTAAGTATTATAACATACATTGGATGCATTTTGTCCATTTTGGGTTTAGGGATAATAATTCTTACTTTTGTCCTTTTCAGGTAAGTTATTCCAATGTTTACATAAAGTAATTTTGGCAAGCCCTTGTTCTAGTGATATTTACTACTTTATTTAAGATTTTCATAAAACATAATTTTTAAGATTCAATTTAAAATAAAATATTAAATATGATTTATTTCAGGGAATAAAAAATGTATGCATTTGAATGGAAAACTGATGAAGTTCATTTTTTAGCATTAACTGAATTTTATTTGCCTCAAATGTATGATAAATTGTTTCTCAGAAAGGTTGCCCTAACCCTCTAAATCCACATTAATTACCTTTCTTCTGTTTTTATTTGGTTCATAGTTTTATGTCTGATATGGTTTCTGGCCCTGAGAGATTTTATTATCTAATTTACTTATTTTAATTTTTTTAGCTTGCATTAGACATAGCAGAGCAACATCTGGTTCATGTACTCTTAAATTTTAGAGTTAATCCATATGTCTTATTTATAGGAATTTTTTTTTAATTGTAAATAATCCTTATATCTGGGCTTTCTCTTAACTTTATAGCCAATTTATTTATGGAGCAATACTCAATGTGGGCCAGTATTGTTACTTATAGATACTTGTTTTGTAGATAATTCAATTTTAATAAACTAACCGTGCCATACCCAAGGTGGTAGAAGGGGATATTACTCTGAAATTAAATGTTAGGTAGGTAGTTCAAGTTTATTTACAATCTTCTGAATACAAAATTCTATTTGAATAGGCCAAAAGGACTAGGTAACTAAATGTCCAAAAATTCAAAAGTAATAATTTGAATATAGAGTCAGCTGAATGAATGGAAAGAATGAGTTTTGTTTTAGATGGCATAATAAGTTGAGATAACTAGAGATGGAAGTCAGATTAATATCTGTATAATTTCTGTAATTAATATTGGTAGCACCATGGATTGAAAACAGAGTTCTCAGTGGTAAATTGGAATAAATGATTCAGTGTGGATATTCGAATAGACATTAAAATAACATTGCATCTATGGAATAACAAATGGGACTTTATTATTATATTTTTCTCAAAGTTTGCCTTGAAACCACTAGTTAGGATTAGCAGAATTCTAAGGGATCTGCAAAAAAAGCTTGAGTCACTACTTTATAGGAAGCTCATTTTTTAAATTAGTTTTAAAATATATTAAAATTTTGTTAATTTTCTTTTGTTTCCTAAAATACGCTTTCATTTGCATATATTTTTTTAGTTTGTATTGTATAAGTAAATTGTTTGAAATATGAATAACTTATTAAAAACTTCTGTGTGGCTTAACATTTCTATTTAAATCAATTGTAAAAGTTATTTTAAAATGCTTAGAATATATATAATAAAAAATTTATGTATATAAAAATAAAATACGAATTATATATTTTTCAGAAAATGGAGGAAGGAATTGAAAAACAAGGCCTTATTTAATTTGTCTTTAGCACTTATAAGTTTCCTCATCATTTTCTTAGCTGGTATTGAAAGTAAAAACTCTCAATCTATTTGTTTGGCAGTTGCCATTTGTCTGCATTTTTTCATGCTGGCATCCTTTGCTTGGATGCTTGTTGAAGCTCTTGTGCAGTATCTTAGTTTTGTGAAAGTGATTGGTACTTACATTCCATGCTTCATGCAAAAAGCTGTGGCTTTTGCTTGGGGTAAGTTTATGTTTAATATCTATAACATGTAATAAAATAAAGAATTTATATGCATGCCTGTCAATGTGTCTGTATATCGGATCACGGGTATATTGTAAGCTCCAAATGTATGACATTCAGCATGAAGTTAAATGAGTTCAATTGTAAAAAATTCCTAAGTCTGGTTTTTTATTTTTTTATTATTTTTAATTCAGAGAAATTTAAAAAATGGAATTTTCTGATTGGCTTAGTGGACGCCGTTGTTTCCAAATTAACCATAGACGATTCAGTTTTGTCAAATGTTTTAAAAATCACATCAGTGATGCTTGTTAACTTATAGATCTAATAAAAAAATTGCTTATTACACGTTCTCTAATACTTAATTACTTTTTATTCTTCATGCCAGATCATCTGACTGACCAACGTTATTGTGGTAACATAGGCGGACAATGTCATCAAAGTTTTGTTTCTTAGGTTATCTGAAGCCACATGTTTATAGTTGTGCTTTTAAAATGTGTTACTATAAAATTAAATATTAAAAACAACAGAAATGGAAATGAAAAATAATATTTATTTATTTAAATAAAATAATAAGCTATGTACTAAAAGACAAAATTAATGGAGAAATATTACTAATAACATAAGAGAGCATAAAAAAATTGGCAAATCATTATGCCTCAGTGATGCTTATTTAATTTTGGTAATGTGTACTAATTGAAATAAAAAAATAAGCTATGAACTAAAGAGCAAAATTAATCTTAAAAATATTCTTATTCTTTATGAGGACCATGAGTCACCAAAACTATTATTGCAGCAATGATGCTTTATTTTGTAATTGGCACTACTGGCATAATGGTAATTGGTGTAGTTTTAATCGGTACCAAAAATACTTTTATGTAAATACAAAGTATTTTATGAGTAAATCTGGTGTTAATTATGGCTGCACCAATACTGTACATTACTGTACAAAGATTTTAGTGCAAGAAGATATAAGTGCATTGCATAAGTTATGCAAGAAGATATAACCCTCGAAGATATAAGTGCAAGAAACATTATGACAGATGATACTGATTACAGTTAATCCTTATTTTGATGGGATAAACTACTAACTACATGATTTTCCCAATCTAATAAGGTAAACCTAAAAAAAAGAGCAACAAATAATAATAAATATATAAAAAACTTTGAAATTATTTTAGCCTTATTATTTGTGTCAGTATTTGTCTTAAAGTTTTGTGCACGAAGTGTTATTCAGTACTGATTAATTGCTGCTTATTTCATGATGAAGATGTTTGACCATTATTGTATTTTTTGTTAAAGGATTTTTTAGCTTTCAGGAATTAGATATTTACTATGTTAAATTTAATAAATAAAGTTTGCTTGGCTACTACTTTTTCCTACCTCTATAAATTTTTTTTATCTTTTTTCTATTGTATGAAGTGTTAAAAAACCAAGTACAAAGCATAACATTCTTGGAAGCTTACTTAATATACATACTTGATATACTTAAGTACTTGACGGTTAATTTCAAATTAAGGAATAATTAAGTTTTATAATATTCCAACAAGCAGAAGAAATTCAAAGTACAAGCTACAAATATTGTCTAAATATTGTTCATATGTTGTTAAAAATTTAAATTTGTCCTTTAAAACACTGATTTAGTAAAGTTGAATAAATTATTGAAATTGATTTTAGTTAAGAAAGGGATTCATCTAAGAATGTCAATCAAAATTCTTTAAAAACAAAAACATTTATAGTTTTATTATACTCTTGGAATTTTCTCTCTATTGTATTTTCTTTAAAAAAAATTTTGTAGGCACTTCTCTGTGTGTTAATAGGTTATTTTCTTATTTCTGACTTCTAAACTAATATTATTAACTAAATTACCTTTTCATGGGATTTGATATTTGCTTTCAAGAAACAGTAATATTGTGTTACTTTATTGAAAATGTTAACTGTTTTTATTTTTAAAATGATTTGCAATAATATTTTTCTTTATATTTCAGCTGTAATTTTCGAAAATGTTTTATTATATTTCATAAATTACTCACTAAATTATGTATTAAATTATTTATTGCAGGTACACCCTTACTTATTGTAATAACTGTGTCAAGTATAAATTATGAGTATTATACTTCAAGAGATAAATAGTAAGTTTTGTTACCTGTTATGTTTCAATTTTGTGCTTAATTCTTGGTACTGATTAGTGTTCATAAAAACTATATTCTAAGTTATTCATTTGTAAACTAAAGAATCGTTTTGTGCTTTCAAATAATTGTTTTAATAAATATAGTTCCTTCTTGTTATTTCAGAGACATTCATTTCTCAATTATAAAATACAGTGAACTCTCACTTATGCACCGGTGTAAGGGGCCAAGAGAAAAAAGCACATAAGTGAAAGAGGCGCATAAGTGAAAAACTTCAAAATTCTAAAACGCAACGTAAATTACAGTGACAATATGAATAAATATGTTTCTAAAGATTAAATGTTAATATTTATACTGTTTTGGTATTAACTATAATTATACAAAGAAAAAATTTAACATACCTTAAGACAATTTATTTTCTTACAAAATAATCTTAATACATGTTTGTATTTGTTTTTGCCGACGTTATTCAAAAGCAGTTTTTTCCAGTTCATATAAATGGGATAAGGGGGAGTTTCAGAAGCAAAATTAAATTGTGAATAGTCAGGAATAGTGTCTAAAGCTTTCAATACTGCTGTGTGATTTGGAGGAACTTTATCATCTCGTCAGTATCATCCACCACATTCTCATCATTCACAAGTTTGAGTTAGATATAAATGAACAGTTCTTCGCAAAAAATGTGAGTTTTATGGGAGGAGGTGAAACATCACATGATAAATCTATAAGAAAAGTACTTGACGTCATAATATGCTGCACAATAAGTTGTTCAAGTAAAACAGATCACCTCACTAAACAGATCACCTACTTTTATGTCCATCTGACTGCAAGTAAGTGATCGCGGTCTCTTTCATCTTTTGTATTCCAGGTGTCTTCTTTTTCTAGTAAACAGCATGGGAGTAAAACTAACCTCTGGACAAGAGGAGCGGTCATTTTGTTAAAGATGAATGGGCTTTCATTGTTGTTGGTGTAAAAGATAAGACACCCTATTCAAAATTTTAGAAAGAATGTCTTTCCAGAAACAGCAAAAATGAAAAGGTTGCAGGGGGAAGCAAATTCAATAGGATCTAACAACATATATTTCTTTTTATCTGTAACAAGGATTGCCCATTTGCTTCATTTTTAATTTAAAACATTTTTTTTTTCAAAGTAAAAATATTTAAAGGATTAAAAAATTAAAATGCTAGCCTAAAATTTCGGCGCATAATTGAAAAATTTATTTTTAGAGCGACGCATAAACGAAGGATGTTTATTATTATTTTCCTATCTAATGTACTGGGACCTATAAAAATCGTCGTATAAATGAAAAAGGTGCATAAAAGAGGTGGTGCATAAGTGAGAGATCACTGTATATTAGATACCAATATAATTGATCTTTTTTAATTTTTTATGGTCTGTTTTCACCTCATGTTTATATGCATTATGTCTTATATCTAAATCTGAAATTTTAAGCAAATTTTAGATTTGAATTTAATTTTTTAAACAAGATTAAAATTTTATACAGTTATTTATAATTAGTTTAAATTAATTAGGATGTTCTTCTGTATGAAAGTGATTGAAAATTTGGTACTTGTCAAATTTGATAATCAAAAACTTTTGTTCACTTTCCATGGTGATTTATTTTAATTATTGCTTTTTGCAAATAATGCAATAAATTTTGCTGATCTCTTGTTCAACATTTTAAAAGTAATTTGATTGACTAACTCAAAATGCTTATGGTAATTTTTTTGATGAATTTTTTGTTGTTTGATTTTTAATTTGTGCTTTTTTGTTTCAATTTTAAGGCCTTTTTATATTTATGATTTTTTGAAATATAAGTTAAATGTAAATATATTTTAGTCTGTTCTGTTTCCTTGTAAAATTAAATTTATGGAATAGAATGTTGATGAATTTCTTAGTAGTATTTCTTGTTGTGTTTGGTGAGGCAAAAACATTTGTTTTCACTGTCATCAATGCAAAATTACTTAACTTTTGGCACATTTAATAATTGATAGAGGCTTAATGAGTAATTTATATTACATTGAAATCTTTGGTTAAACTACTAGTCTAAAATTAAAAGTTATATTTAAAGTCATCTAGCCTAAATTCTGATTTTTCAGATTTAATATTTAGTAATATAGGGAATGTAGCCAATTAAAAGTTTAAAAAACATATCTGAAAAGACAATGCTACCTCAGAGCATCCATATAGATTTCTACCAACAACAAAGTAAACTCATGTAAGTTCATTAATTATTTTTTTTTGAAAGATACTTTGCAAAAATTGTTCAAAAGTTCTGATAATTTTCTAAAGACATAAAGTGTTTAAATTATTTTGAAACTTTTATTTTATCAATTCACTTAATGTTTGAAATGAAGTTGCATCATATTTAATTTTTTACATAAAATAAATATTTCATTTGTACTGATGCAAATATTTTTGTTTTGAAGGTTGTATGGACCTTTTATGGATAGAAAATGTAATCAGTTATAAAAAGTTTTTTACCTCCTTTTAGTTAATACTTTTATAAACTGTAATTTTTCTTTTTTTTAAAACTTTTCTCTACTTTTCTTTACTTTCTACTTTTTTTGTACATTATTTACTTTTCTTTCAGTTGTTGGCTGTCAGGAGATATGTTTTACTATGCGGTTGCTACTCCAGTTTTGTCCATGTTGATTTTAAATTTTCTCATCTTCATCATAATTCTTTATTCTAATACTTGTGGAAGACCAAGTAAGCGTCTCAGAAGTAATCGGGATGAAAGGAAAGAAGCAATCACTACTGCTAGAGCCATGTTCTGTGTATCAGTATTACTAGGTATGAGAAGTCATTGTTAATTTTAATTCAAATGATTGTGACATTTTAAACAAAAGTGGAATACAGTGCCAAATATCATTTATCTCAGTGTTTAAGTAGACTCCCTACTTTTGATTACGAGGTAGCGAATTTCTGGTATGTTCTCGTGCAGAAGCTAACCACTGAAAAAGAAAACAAATATGAAAACTTCTATTTTACTATGAAATCTTTTAAAAAGGGTGGAATTTCGAATTATTATGGATGGTTGGGGATGAGAGTTTTTTGTAGTGCTCAGCAGACGAGGATGAAATAAAATCCACTGCAGAGTGGGATCCGTATGACGACACTGCTAATGTCTGACACAGATTATGTCCTGGAATTTTTAAATTTGTAGCTTTATGGTCTGTTTAAAAGGTTTCATTGTTATTGTATTTTTCAAAATACCCTTGAATAAATTATTTTAACTTTTCTTTTTTTTTCTTCCTGAACACAGGGCCGTTTTAATAGCATGCAGGACCCCCGGACGAAAATTTTTTTTGGGTCCTTATAACATGTCATACTGCTGAAAATTGAACTAAAAAACTTCACATACATAAAATAAAGCATTTTTAACATATGCAATAATTTGAACAAATTTAAATACATTTTGACTTAAATTTGTTTTTAGTAAACCCAAAAAAACTGAATTCACGTAAAAATTTCATTGGAACATAGAAAAAAATATTTCCGTTACCTTTTTAAGTTTCCCTGTTGATAAACTATTCAAATTATTGTTGATTGCAAGATAATCAATCACTATTTGTAGAAAGAAAAACAAAATACACACTTTATACAATATAATATATTTTTTTTAAAAAATATATAAGGTAATTTTGTTTAGTCTTAGTTTTTTTTATTAATACAATTTATAAAAAGTAAGAGTCTCAAGGGCTCCCTGAATGCCTGGGCCCCTCGGGCACTGCCCGGGTGTGCCCATGTGTGAAGACGGTACTGCCTGAACATAATTTAAAGTATTGTTTCTGAAAGAAATTTTTTTTTATGTGTATCGAAAATATGTTGAGAGAAAAGGCAAAATTAATCGCATATAACATTAAAAATGTAGTATATAGTCTTTGAAAGAGTAAATTAATACAGAGTAATTCATATCTATCTCATTGTTTATAATGCATAGATATTTCATAATCGACCAATCTGACTGTAATCGCATTACTTCCTGATTTTCGTTAAATTTTGGGAAGTTGACATATACACTGGAATATACGGTAGTCAGATATTATAAACAGTAAACCATAGAATGAATTACGTTTTTCTTACATTCATATTAACATTTTAACTGTTGTCTTTTTTTAGTTGCTCAGTTGAATGTTTTTAATTTTTCTGATCTATATTATTTCAAACCATTTTGCATAAATTTTGTTTTTTCATTGTTTAAAAATAACCACTAGCAGTTTTGTGGCTCTGAATAAAAATATAAATGTATATTTAAGGTACAGATTATTTGTAATTATATATAAAATATTATAAAGTTTATACAGGTCTGAGAATATCAAATAAGATAACCTAGTTAATGAGTATTATTTATAGGCCATTTATATTTGTATTGCTGGTAAATAATTAAAAATTGCCTAAAAATATTTGGTCTGTTCATGATTATTTTGTAATATTACTGCAGTATTAAATATACATTTTCATTTTGAGAAAACTTAAATTAATTTATTTTTAGGTTTGTCTTGGATCTTTGGTTTCTTGGCTGTAGATGGTGCTAAACTATTATTTCAGTATTTATTTGCCTTGTTCACTACTTTACAAGGATTCTTTATGTGTGTCTTCTTTGTAAGTGTAATTACTCTTATTTTTATTTTATTTTTTTCTAATTTGTGATATCTATCTGTTTGCCATTTATTTTTTTCTCTTTAATATTTGCATTGCTATTTATTTTAATCTAAAACCATAAAATACAGTTTGAGTGTGTTACCCAGACCTTTTCCTTTGCTACAAATTGGATTTAACTGTGTTTTTCAACTTATAAAGTGTTTACAAAAGAAACATTTCTGTATGTTTTCCCTCTGGTTTTGACAGTTACGAGTTTAATACATCAAACTAACTGTGCTTTTTATGCAATAATTAAATTTTTTTAAAAACTTCTTTTATGAAATTAGCAATTATTATTTTTAAAATTTAACTCTAATAAGGTTTATTTCAGAATTAAATTCTTCAATTCATTTAATTTTTCGTAAAAAAAGAAATTAATATGGACCAATAGCCATTAAATTTAAATGAATAGCATTAGAATTAAATTGATACATGCATTTTTTATGATCAATCAATATTAATTTAATATCGAGAAAAATTATTGTTATTGAATTTTTTTAAATTTAATAATAAAGTTTCTACACATTATCTTAATCTTTATTTCAAAATCTTAGGAGTGTTATTAGGTAAGTTTGCAGATGCCTAAGGTGAATATGATATTTCTCATTCATTATTTGTTTAATTAGCTGTTGAATATATTTATGATACAAAAGACAGCTAAATTTTGTCTCCGGTACTTAGTTGCTAAGCATGTGTAGTCCAGGTACTACATATGCTTAGTAAAATTGACATTGAGCAAGATAGCTGCAATAGAACATCAATTATTCAAATTCATATTTGGTTCACATTTAGATAGGTGGGGTAATGAACAAGAGAAAAGAATTAAACCAACATAATTTAAAGAATTGATTAAGTACAGAATACAAATTTTGCTTGTTGTAGCCATTATGATGTGGCTTGTCATTCTTTAAATAATGTGTGGTCTCATCTTGTAAAAATTGATTGAATTATTTTCTTGTTACACTATATTTTACTCTTTAAGCAGTTACAAAAATTCATTTTCATTACAAATTCAATTTATTATCTTTACGTTTAAGAGTTTATTAAATCTGAAGAAACCTTTCAATTCCACAATTTTGCTTTCCTCTTATTCACTATTGTTTTAAACAGTGTATAAAAATCCATTATCATTAAAAATTCGCTTCTTTATCTTAACTCAGTTTAAACAATCTTAACTAACAAAATTTAACTCATTATCTTTAAAAATTATAGTGTTTAAAAATTTATAATTTCACAATAAACCTTTCAATTCAACACTATTGCTTTTACAGTGTTGTTTTATGCAATCTACAAATCTTCATTTTCATTACTAGTTCAATTCATTATCTTAATGCAACTTGAAAAATTCTTTATCATAGAATATACCCTTCAAGTCCACTTTGTGGAATTTATTTTTAAACTAAATTGTTAAAAAAAATTCAACATAAATTTAAGAATCACACAAGCATCATTTTTCTTATTTGTTAATGTATTATAGTAATGAGTATTTTATGTATATTTAGTGTTAAATTTGAAGATACGCAAACAATTCTGTAATATTTACATATTTTTTCAAAAAAAGAAAAAAATAATCAAAACATTAATTTTTAATGAATTTGTGTGCAAATTGACAAAAACTAACTTGTTATAATCTTAAATGCTTGAGCATAAATTAGATCCAACTAACACTTTTAATTACTTAAATAAATCATTTTTACAGAGATCTGTATTAGGTGTTTCATTTTTCAGGTATTTCGTCAAAAATCTACTCGTGAACTATGGTTTACTTGGATAACTCAATCACCCACCTCAGATTCTTCTCGCACTTCTCATATCACAGATATCACAAATAGGGCTGTCAGTAATCTATCCCGACAAAGCACACCAAACAGATTAAGCAAAGCTGTGTACAAAACTAGACTCTCTTACATTTTGTTCAATTGAAAAGTGCCAAAAAATTGTACACATTAAAATCTTTATTAAAAATTGTAAATAGGGCAGAAAATTATTCATAGCGCATCTCAAGTTAAGTCATCTGTATGTTTTTTTATTGTTTATAGAAATAAATTTATGTACTTAATAAAGTGTATTGCCATTTAGTTATTATATAGTTGCAAAAGGTTTTTCTTTTAAAAATTTGAATTTTTAATGAAATTTTTTAATAGTTATGAACCCAGTAGCAGAACGCTCCCCTCCAAAAAAGGAAACATAATTATACCATTAATTGCCTAAATTTTTAATAAATAGGTTCAGTTCTTTGAAAATAAAAAAAACCCTTCCTTTTTAGTTTATTTAAAAAAAATTTCTACTAGAAATTGCTTGGCAAGAAAACTAATATTTTATGAAAAAAAAAAATTATCGGGCATGTGATAACATAAATACCCTGATAATTATAGCTACCATAGTTATTGAAAGTTAATTATTTCACAAAATATATGATTCATTGATTGCATGAAATGCATTAAATGCAAAATATATGATTTTGCATTTAATAGATATTTAAGATAGCTATGAATACTTTTAAAAACAAGAAAAAAAAAATACGAATCTGAAATTGACTTATTAAAGCTACAATGTTGTGTTCAATGTAAACTCTATAGAGAAAAAAATTATATTTTAGTTCTTGACTGTAAATTTTGGTTATCAGAAAATCACAGATTATTAAACATTTGTTGCACCTCTCTAAATTTTGTTTAGAGGAACTCTAGTTCAAGCAACAGTAAGAAAATGGAAAAAAACCCTTTTTTTTCTGATCAAACATAATTTTTAAGCTGTCGTAAAAAACAGTGCACATTTTAAGATTATAGACTAAATATAGGAAAATATTCTTCTTAAGGCTAATACTAGGACTCTTTTTGTTATCTTTAATCATTATTTTTAATGTATTCTTTGGACATGATTGTGCTTTAATAATTGTAGTTTTGATTTTCATGTTTTTTATAACCTTCATAAAATTCCTTGTGCTATGTAACGATCTTTAAAGAGTGTTTCTCCAAGTGACGGAATGAGAAGCCTCTTCTATTGTGAAAAAAGCTGTCCCAGAAGAAACAGGTTTCTTCTGACCAAAGTGGAAGAAATATGAAAGACCTTTTTTTTTCCAAAAAAAAAACCCGGAAATTTTACATTAATTTTTTAAGCACAATTTGAATCTATCAATATCAATTTAATAACAATCTCAATCTATTTGAATTAATAATATACATTTTATTCTGCGAGGTTATAAAAACAATCCTGAATCTACATCAAAATCCTGAAAAATATTTAAAAAAATTAAAAATATTTGAAAAAGAAGTAACCACTTTAGAAAATTCTTATCTAAATGGCTTTATTTTAAAGAAAATATTTTTTTATATGTCTGTTTGTGTGCTATTATTACAATTTATTATTTTTTTCAAAAACAATGCTTACTTAAGCTAATGCAAGTATACATAATTAATCAATATATGCGCATATCTATACCTAGTATTTTTTTAGAAGGATAGGTATAGCATAAATCGTGTTTAAAAATCATTATAATAGTGGTTATATAGATTTTAAAATTCTGTATAAGACTATAATAAATAATATAAAAATGGTTATCTTTTTTTAAGAAATAGTAAATGCCCAAAACTTATAACTTTCTGGAATTACCTAGAATTTAATTTGTTTAAATTCATACTATCTTATAATACTTACCAAAACAGTATATTAGTCATTTTTAGTTTCTTCAATTTTGAACAATTTTTTACATTGTCCTGGTTGAAAAGGCTCTGTTTGTATGAAATCCCATCTATGTTCTGAACTACATGGATAATTTCTATGTAATTTTTTTTTATTTACTCTACGAATCAAGCAATAATTATTGGAATTGTTATAAAAAATGAATATTAATGGATTCATGATCATACCTTAATTGCAATTATATTTTTTTGCTTTTCATATAGGTAAAATTTACGTACACTTAAGCCACAAGTACATTAAGTTGCATTGAAGCTTTAAATTTAAATCGCGTTAATATTGCGTTAGCTGTCAGAAAATTTTAGTATGAGCAAGATTTATTGGTTGTTTTTTTTTATCACACCCTTATTTTTTGCAATTTTAAAATTTTTGATTTTTACCTTTGCATTTTTACTTTTTTATTCAAAAAATGTTTCAATAAAAAGTTTGTTTTTGTTTTGTCTATGCTAATTTGTGTACAAAAAAGTGTATAATTTTTAATAATTTAAATTCTGTGTAATAAATTTTAATTGAGATTTTATTTATTACCAATTGTCTAAGAACAATTCTTAGTTTAAATTCTTAGAGCTTGAAATTTGAATGAACTTAACAAAAAACAAGTTTATAACACTTGAATCATATTGCACCAGTGACAATTGTTTCAACTTTTTTTTGTGAGCCAAACTATAAAGCTTACCAGTTATGGTTAAAAATGGAATGTATATTTTAAGATTTTTAAGTAAAATAATAAAAAAAATAAGCTTGTAAGATTTTATTTACTAGTAAATATCTAGACTTTATATTTTATAGTATAATAATGTAAGATATATCGATTGCAAATATTGGATTTTGCTGTCTTAAAAAAGAACAGTATTTCCCTTAATACACAAAAACTTTCTTCCTCATAACCTACAAAACAAGATATACTTTTCAACAACCCCTCAAGTGATTACCATCAATAACAAATCACCCTCATAGTCTATATAATGAAAAATGTCCAGATCTACATAAACTAAACTTTTTTCAAATTCACAATAACTTTTTATAGTTGAAGGTATAAAATGTTTTTATTAACATAATGAATAGTGCAAATTTTGTATGACGATTTGTATTGAATAGTGCAGATTTTTATCTTTTTATACTCTTAAGGAACTTTTCTTTGAGTCTACCAAGTAATTTAAAATTTTTGTTTATAGATGTTACCTGCTTTTATTTCTTTTTAAATTAAAAAAAAACTTTTTGTAGCAATGCTGTTTTTATAACATTCGTTAACGAAAAATATAAGAATTCATAAACCCTATGTTGATAAAACGTTATACCCTGAGTAGCTTTTATTTCAATGTTTGGATTCTTCACTTGCTAAATGCAATTTTAATTATATGAAGAGGTCTCTTTACATATGTGAGTAGGAATGGCGGAATGATTAATTAAGTAACAAAGTTAGCTGCGAAAAAGGTTCTTTCTCTGAATGAATCTATATATTTTCCATGGATTTATGTTTTTTACCATTTAAATTTGAGAGGAGGGGAAAAGAAGACATGATTAAAAAGTCTATGGGCCTTACTAATTTTATCTACAGAATTTTCCGTCATGACTAAAACTATATCGAAGAAACAAAAAAGTTCTCTCAATTATAAAGTTTGCTTGCCAAAAAAAAAATAATTTGATGCAAATCAAAAATTTTAAATTATGAAATATAATTTTTTGTTTTATTAGATATCCAAAGTTTGAAATAAATGGGTCCAATAATTACTGAGCAATAAAAGTTAAAAAAATCTATCATTCTGTGAAAAATAACTGACATTGTTTTCTACTTTAAAAAATCGTAATGGTTTCCGCTATTTTGGATGCTTAACGTTACTGTTTTGCTGCCCAAAAACTATTAAGTCTTAGAAACTTGAAATTACGAAAATTTCTAGAAAAATGGACAAGGCTTATAATATAGTAAAAATTTTTTTAAATTCAATAATTAGTTCGAAGATGTTCAAGAACTGTTAAACAAGTGTATTGAAAAATACTACCCGAACCATTCTACTGGCCGTTGCGAGTGCAACTATGGAATTATAATTTGACATGCTGGAAAGGCCATTTTTATTTATGGACGTAATTTGAGCTTTTTTTGAAATTTTTTATTTGTGTGAAAGTTATTGCATTTTTAAGTGCGTTTCCTTTGCGATTTTTTTACTCTTTTTCTACATTTTGTTTTGATGCATAAAATCTAAGGCTAAAAACTTGAAATTGTGAAAGTTTGTTAAAAAAAATTATAAGGAGCAGAAAAGAATTTTTAAAAAAATTAAAAGTTTGATTATTACTGCAATAGAGGCACAACTAAAAAAAATCAAGTTTTGAGATAAGTGGGTTTAAAGTTTTCATTGCTAAGCAAAATGCATAGGAAATGCTTTCGTTTGCTTAAACGAAGTTTACCTTCAAGTTGAATTATGACTTTGTGCAAGTATTACAACTGAAAGAATGTGTATTTTCATATTTACACATGCTCTTAGTCCAAAACGAGTGTTTTTTGAGTTGTGCTACTATTGCAGCACATGAGCGATTTGTTCCAGAATTACTAACTGTTAAACATGTAGTAAAAAGAGCAAAACCTTTTTGGTAGATCTGTACCTCACTGAAACGCAACTGCAGAGTTGGAATTTGACGTGCTGAAAGAGCGATTTTCATTTATTAGGAGTTTTTTTTCGAAATTTCAATTTGTTCGAAAGTTATTGCAGTTAAGTAAATTTAGTTTTTAGTTATTTAGTAAGTTTAGTTACATTAGTGCAGTAAAGTTTGTTATTTTTTCCACTTTTTTTGCTTTAATTAATGATTACTTATCCATTATTATGAAAAAATTCCTTTCTTTCGAGATTTTTATTTTAGCTGTTCCTGCTTGACCTTGTCAAAAATTACAAAAAATTGTTTATACAAAATAAAGTAAAAAATATGTGAAAGAGATTAGATCTTATCTTTTTCTATCTCTAGCATTATTTGTCTGATTTTTTAAACTCTTAACTGGGACATTTAATATTGATTGTGCAAAAATTGGCATACCTAATAGCTCAAAACTTTCTTGATCATTGCGAAATAATATAATAAAAAAGTAACTATCAAAATACAGTTTCTGCATTAAATTATCTTAAGGTGAATGAGTTTCATAATTGTTTACATTATTTACAATAATAGGGGAAAATGCAAAAAGTTAAAATAACATTGAAGCGCCCAAACATTCAAATTCACCTTGGGGAAAAAATTAAAAAGGTTTGTTTATTCTGAGGAAGTGCAGGTTTATGCTCGACTTACAGTCAAATTAGTATATCTTGAGTAGGTTTCTTCAACTAAGAAAAAAATAAACTATGAAACAAAACTATTTAAACTATATAATTTATACAACTAAAAACTATATAATTTAACTATATATTATATTTCGAAATATTTACAATTTAACAGTATATGTTAATATAATTTCTTATTGTTTTTGATGATTAAATGATAAGCTTTTCTTCTAAGAAAATTTTTCAATCAATATTTCCCTGAATTGTTAAAGACTTATCCTTTTATTTTTCATGAATTTGGCGCTGCACCAAGTTTGCGCCTAGGGACAGATGTCCTCACTTTATGTCTACCCCCTCTATGTCACTGCAAATAGGCTGGTTTTTGATGATTTTAATCCCTTTTTTGCTTTTTTATACCTTAATTAAAATTAGATCTGAGTGAAGAAAAGTTTTCGCTCTGCCCCTCTTATTTATCAATTTGTGAACTCTAATAAATTTTTTGATTTAATTTCGTACAAGGACTCTCTCTAAAAATATAAATTAAAGCTAAGCTTGCAAAACAGTATACTTAAAACTTAGGTCTGTTATATAGTGACGTATAACTTCTCCATGCCAATAATTGTTCATGAAATTGGACTAATTTGCGTTAAGGTATGCGTATATCCGATTTAAAAACCTTAAAATAAACATGTACACCGTACATGTTTATTTTAACATGTGTAAAACATGTTTATTTTAACATGTATTAAACATGTATAAACATGTACACATGTACACTTTCTGCAGCTTACAAAAATGCCTTTTTCAATGACTGAAGTTGTTCCCAAATGGTGTTATGCGGAACCCAAAGGTTCCGTGAAGGGATCACAGGGGTTCCGAGAGTTAAATTTTTTTTTTTACCTGTAATGATTTTCGAAACCTGTAATTGAGTTTATATCCTATTAATTATCTATCATTTTTTAAAAAAATATTTTCATTATTTTTACGAAATTATTTAATTAAAATGCTTGTGAAGAAAGAAAAGCAAAATTAAAAAAAAAATTATGATAATATATTGAATGAATAATGAAAAGGACACCTTTATGGAAAAATGCATTAGTATTTTTGCATGGAATAAAAATTACAAAATTCAACAATGAAGAAATATGTCTCTCTAATAATCATTCTCAATGTTTATTTCGGTGCTTATTCTTCTTTATTTCAGTAAGAACCAAGTTTTAGCTCATGTATATTCAGTTTATGCATGCACTAAAATCTAATTTGAATTATATGCCGCTCCAGACCTGTAAATTTAATTGTCTGACATAATAGTATTGATAAAACGACGCGATGAAATTTTTTTATTTTATTCAATAATCAACTATTTGTATTCATTTATAAATTTATTAATTAAGTTTCGGGCTTCCGTCAAAAGATGATCGATCATTTAGGGTTCCATAGCCGAAACAAATTAGGAACTACTAGACTAAAGAATAAGTTGTGAAGTCATAACATTACTCAATGAGAAGAAAAATGTCATTTAATAAAAATTTTACTGAATTTGAAATTATATTTTACCAATATTTTGCCAGTTTTTTTCCCCATTGTAAAAGTTATGTATAATAAATATGTAAAAATCAAACTAATAGCTTTTTTTTCTGTTCCAACTGAACTGAAAACAAAAATATGTGGTAAAATACATCTTATTGAAATATATCAGTAAAACGCGGAATGAAATATTAGTAAAATATTGACTTACGCGTTATATCATCTGGTATTTTTTCATTAGTTATATACATGATCATATTGTAGTCACCTTAAGCTTAAGTCACCGTCAGCTTAAAAATGTCTTCTGTGATTTAAGAGAGAAAATCATTTCTTAGGTAGGCCACATATTACTTTTACGAAACTTCTGAGATTCGGCAATAAAATTCATTTATCCACAACGCTAATTGTATGCAAACATCTGAGGTTTAGATTGTGATCTATAAAAAATAAATTTTATTACTTAGCGCTGAAGTTTGATTCTTTTTATTGCAGCGTTTCTACATATCCAGAAGTTTATGGATGCTGTTTTATGTAGAAAATAATATGCAAACGATTTGTACAGCTTAAGAATTTTGTTTTTGAGATGGCAACATCTGCTGTGAAAAAACATGAGTCGACATTTTAATTATTCAGTCACTTTCTTCGTGTAATGCATAAAAGTTAATTACTAGTTTTCTTGACGTAAGATTTAATAAAATAAGAAATTTTTTTAGGGAGCGTATATTATTTCTTAAGTATTTTTCTTTACTCGAATAAAAATATTTTATAAAATAAATAATTATAACATTAATTTCGATTTCTGAAACTGAAAAAAAAAGAAGAAAGAAATCCATGGAACATTGTGAAACATTCAAGAATTGTTTTCATTTTTACGAAATACTTTAATATTCGAAATATTTTAAATAAAGAAATTTGTATAGTCATCCAGCACAGAACCAAAGTTCAAACCGGGACGTAATTAAAATTAGAATTGACAATATATTTATTTTAGTATAAATATTTTGAAAGTAGCCATCGGAAAAAAATTTAAAATTGTATTGTTATCCAACTCGGAGCTCAAGTTCAAATCGGAATGTGGTCAAAATTGGAATTAACGATAAATTACCCTTGGCGATAATACCACAACAAATTGTAACGACCAGGAAATTTTTTTTTGTCATCTAGCCAAAACTTCAGCCCTTAATTTAATCGGTTCTAGTTGGGGAATTTTCATTGCCGATTAATTCCAAAGGGCGACAAATTCTGTTTATAACAGTCAGTATAAGATTGCAGTTTTTATTGTGTATTAGGCACCAAAAGAGATTTAAATGGTCTAAATTTTGACTTGTATTGATTACTTTATAAAACTGATTTTTTTCATGTTTCCACGTACTTTTCCAAATATTTCATACTAGGAGCCCATTTTTGCTGTCCGTCTTCAATCGCTCTGATTGCTTCAACTTTTATTTTTTGGAATAAAAAATTGCATAGAAAATCTAATTGCATAAAAAGCAAAGGAAAAATGATGACCTGTCCGTGCATTCTCATTTGACTGATAAATCACGTGGTGTGATCCAGTTTTTTCTCTGGTTGTCATCAAAAAGTTATAAATTTATTGTTTATCTATAAAATATTTATCCCTGATATAAATATATTTACCTGTACTATTTCTTTATTATTACTCAATATTAATTATTTTCATATTCTTGATTTTTATTATTTATATTTTAAGGCTTAAAACTAAAGTGCTCTTTTTTTTATTGTATCGAAATCGTATATTATCTTATTGCGCTACGTTTTATAATACACATATTTATGTACAGTTTTACAATTTTAAACGGTGAATACGTGTTATATTTGATAAGTTGTATTTACTTCTATTAAATTTTTTTATGTGAAACTGTGTTCTGTCAACATATGCAATTAAAACGATGAATGCAAAATAACTATTTAAAACTGTAAAGCAATATTAGCATTAACTTTTTTGCACTATTGCTAAAAATATTTTTTAACAAAAAACGTCGAACAAGAGTTTTTTTAAATTAAAAATTAAATACGAATTTTTAAAACAAGTTTGTTGATAAAGTGGTTATGGTAACCGAGAAAAATGATTAATAGGAAGGTTTTAGTCTGTGGGCAATCCTATTAACCGTTTAGCTGTTTGGCTATAAGTATGTGTTTGTAAAATGGAATTTTTTTTTTTTTGAGTTATGTATTTTCAGAATCTAAACATAATAAATATCACGGTTAGATGTATATACTCTCCCTCACTCCGAAGAAAATTCTACTAAAAGATGAAAGTTTTATGACGGAGCCTATTGCAGTTTCGTGATGTGATCATATAATTTTACGACTATACTCTACCAAACGAAACATTCCACAAAATTCAAGAAAACAACTAGTAATTAAAAGATAAGATACTTCTAATTAAAAAAAACAGTGTTCAGCTGCAACTAATCACGGATTTTTTCATATAAATTGAGAGAGAAAAATTAACAGAGTCACAATCAGTTGAGCAACTGCAACTAAAGCAGTCATGAACTGGTTAACTAGTTTTAGTTTGACTCTGCTATTAGTCTATGTACAGTACGATCATGTTGAAGCTAGAAGAGGTCATCACGGTTCCGGTAGCAACTCTAAAAGTCCTTGGGCGAATCCAGTTAAAGCGCAAGCTTTTATGAAATGTCTTATCAAAAAAATAAGTACATCTCCGGTTTTCCCAGAACAAGAAAAAGAAGACATGGAAGAAATAGTAGAAACGATGATGTCAGCTTTCAGTAGCATGAGCAGCTCAGGAGGAAGTAATGCTGCAAAGATGCAGGCAATGAATATGGCCTTCGCATCTTCTATGGCAGAACTTGTCATTGCTGAAGATGCTGATGATCTTGACAGCATCAATGTAAAGACAGAAGCACTCGCAAAAGCTTTGCAACAATGCTTCAAATCTACTTTAGGAACTGTAAACAGACATTTTATAATGGAAATTAAAGATCTAATTGGCATGTTTGCAAAAGAAGCGGCTGCGAATGATGATGTTTCAGAAAATGAAGTAGGAGGCGATGAATTTGATTTAGGAAGCACAGGTGATGAAACTCAACCTCCCATAACATTAACGATTGGTGATGATAAATTATCTGGAACATATTCAGAAGCAGCGACTATCCCAGGTACTTCAAAGTTGGACGTTGACTTAACTGGAGGTTATCCAGCAGGAGCAGGCCCTGATGCTTTTGGACCCTCTGCAACTGGGGGAATAACTGCGAAACTCGCTGTACCACTCACAGGTTCACTTTCGAAGTCAAATGTGTTTAGAGCTGCATTCAATACTAGAACCTCCAAAGGAATTGCCATCAATCTTTCGAAAAATCTCGCAGATATGATTTCCGCCAATTTCGGATTGGATGCCAGTACTGCAGCGAAGCTGAGAACTGCCATCGTGAGTGCCGTATCTAAAGTAAGAACGGGATCTGACTCAAGAGATTATGCTCAAGCCATTGGCAACGCAACAGCTGATGTGTTATCATCCAGCGGCCAGATATCTTCCGACTCTGATTTGAATGCAAAGGCTCCAAAACTCGTTTCAGTTACCTTGCAAGGAGTATCGTCTAATGCTCTTAGATATGGAATCGACCTGTCGGGCATTAACGTTCAAGACGATTTATCAAACGCATCTAGAGGTATTGCAGTATCAATTCAAAGTGGTTCATCTCCTGGCGGAGCTGGTCCTGATTTTGGTTCACCGGATATGTCTTTCGATGTTGACTTGAGTGGAGGTTATCCAGGCGGAGCAGGGCCTGATGCATTCGGACGCTCCTCAACTGGTGGGTTAACTGCGAAACTCTCTGTACCACTCACAGGTTCTCTGTCGACAAATGTGTTTAGAGCTGCTTTCAATGCCAGAACCTCCAAGGGAGTTGCCATCAACCTTTCGAAAAATCTCGCAGATACGATTTCCGTCAATTTTGGATTGGATGCCAGTACTGCAGCGAAGCTGAGAACTGCTATCGTGAGTGCCGTATCTAAAGTAAGAACTGGATCTGACTCAAGAGATTACGCTCAAGCCATTGGTAACGCAACAGCTGATGTGTTATCATCCAGCGGCCAGATATCTTCCGACTCTGATTTGAACACAAAGGCTCCAAAACTCGTTTCAGTTACCTTGCAAGGAGTATCGTCTAATGCTCCTCGATATGGAATCGACCTGTCAGGCATTAACGTTCAAGACGATTTATCAAACGCATCTAGAGGTATTGTAGTATCAATTCAAAGTGGTCCATCTCGTGGTGGAGCTGGCCCTGATTCTGGTTCAGCGGATTCTTCTCTCGATATTGACTTGGGTGGAGGCTATCCAGGAGGAGCAGGCCCTGATGCCTTCGGACCCTCTTCGACTGGTGGATTAACTGCGAAACTCTCTGTACCACTCACAGGTTCTCTTTCGAAGTCAAATGTGTTTAGAGCTGCTTTCAATGCCAGAACCTCGAAGGGAGTTGCCATCAATCTTTCAAAAAATCTCGCAGATACAATTTCTGCCAATTTCGGATTGGATGCCAATACTGCAGCGAAGCTGAGAACTGCTATCGTGAGTGCCGTATCTAAAGTAAGAACTGGATCTGACTCAAGAGATTACGCTCAAGCCATTGGCAACGCAACAGCTGATGTGTTATCATCCAGCGGCCAGATATCTTCCGACTCTGATTTGAACGCAAAGGCTCCAAAACTCGTTTCAGTTACCTTGCAAGGAGTATCGTCTAATGCTCCTCGATATGGAATTGACCTGTCAGGCATTAACGTTCAAGACGATTTATCAAACGCATCTAGAGGTATTGTAGTATCAATTCAAAGTGGTCCATCTCCTGGTGGAGCTGGCCCCGATTCTGGTTCAGCGGATATGTCTCTCGATATTGACTTGGGTGGAGGTTATCCAGGAGGAGCAGGCCCTGATGCATTCGGACCCTCTTCAACAGGAGGATTAACTGCGAAACTCTCTGTACCGCTCACAGGTTCTCTTTCGAAGTCAAATGTGTTTAGAGCTGCTTTCAATGCCAGAATATCAATCTTTCGAAAAATCTCGCAGATACTATTTCCGCCAATTTCGGATTGGATGACAATACTGCAGCGAAGCTGAGAACTGCTATCGTGAGTGCCGTATCTAAAGTAAGAACTGGATCTGACTCAAGAGATTACGCTCAAGCCATTGGCAACGCAACAGCTGATGTGTTATCATCCAGCGGCCAGATATCTTCCGACTCTGATTTGAACGCAAAGGCTCCAAAACTCGTTTCAGTTACCTTGCAAGGAGTATCGTCTAATGCTCCTCGATATGGAATTGACCTGTCAGGCATTAACGTTCAAGACGATTTATCAAACGCATCTAGAGGTATTGTAGTATCAATTCAAAGTGGTCCATCTCCTGGTGGAGCTGGCCCCGATTCTGGTTCAGCGGATATGTCTCTCGATATTGACTTGGGTGGAGGCTATCCAGGAGGAGCAGGCCCTGATGCTTTCGGACCCTCTTCGACTGGTGGATTAACTGCGAAACTCTCTGTTCCACTCACAGGTTCTCTTTCGAAGTCAAATGTGTTTAGAGCTGCTTTCAATGCCAGAACCTCCAAGGGAGTTGCCATCAATCTTTCGAAAAATCTCGCTGATACTATTTCCGCCAATTTCGGATTGGAATTGCCTCATATAAGAACATAAACTTTGACACCCTCTAGCAGTTTTGCGTTTTGTTTTCGACTATGCATTATTTGATAAAAATTGTTTGCTTGGGTGTGTACTATCACTTCCTAAAATTTTGCCCATCTTTTTAGAATCACCCTGTATTAAGTAGGTGAGTAGACATTCATATAGTATAGATCAACATGTGTAATAAAAAATATTACTTCAGTACACTCATGATTATAATAATTTATATTAAATTGTGCTAAATCTTCTTAAAACTTGTTATGATATGATTCCAGAAAACATAATTGTAAAGGATATCAACTAAATCCATCTCAAAAGACTAGGTAGGGTCAAAAGTAGGGTCTGTTTAAAATCATGTCTTCTAAACAACTTTTCAGATTCTAAATTTTATAAGTTTCGATTAGCAACTATTATTACAAACTAAATAAAAAAAAGACGGTGGTTTGGTTGGAAAAAATATAAATTTAATAAAAATTTATATGAATATTAAAACCTGCTAATGTAATCACTAACTGTTCTAAAAAAAACTCAAACAAACCCAACAGGAAGTCTTGCTATACTCATGAACTCAAAGGCTCCAAAACTCGTTTCACTTACCTTGCAAGGAGTATCGTCTAATGCTCCTCGATATGGAATTGACCTGTCAGGCATTAACGTTCAAGACGATTTATCAAACGCATCTAGAGGTATTGTAGTATCAATTTTAAGTGGTCCATCTCCTAGTAGAGCTGGTTCCGAATTTGGTTCTGCTCTAGGCTCCGATATGGGTTATCCTGCTTTAGATAATGGCGTTTCTTTAGATTTCGGTGTTCCATCTAGCAAAGGCCCAACTGTTAGTTTACAAACTCCATCATTATCAGTGAAATCTTTAGCCGATTCTCCTATTGGCCTTAAGTCACCGGCAGCTGCGGCTCGAGTTAACAAAATGGCTTCATTAGTTGTGCAATCAATTGGACCTAATGGTTTGGAAATTAATAATTTGGTCAACGGTCTTAAATCGAGTATTTCTCAACTCACAAGCTCTGGGTTATCTAGAAGTGAAGCAACGGTGGAAGCTCTTATGGAAGCCATGGTAGCTCTTATGCAAGTCCTCAAATCTGCTAATATCAACATGGTTGATACTTCGTCGACATTAAACACTAGTAATTCTGTTGCTGTTGCTTTATCCACACTTTAAGGTCTAACTATATCTTACGATATGTTTTTTTATTTTTAATAGGATTTCATTCTTGTTAACAGCTAATTAGAAATAAAGAAAAGTTATTCTCTTTATCTTCATTATTTATTTGTCTAAATTTTCATTTTTCATGCATTTTATATCTTATGCTGCATTTTTTCATCTGAACCACGCAGGTTATGAGACCCCTCAAGTTAAAAGTTGAAATGACATCTTAAATGCTCTCAATGCTTCTTCTCGAATGAAATTTTGTTTAATTTTCTTATCAATTTGAAGACTTTATTTAACTCAGCTGGGGTAAAAAAGAGAACAGAAATATAATCTTTGATGTGTTCATATAAATGAAACACTTATTCAGACCCTTTATTGCTGATCAATTGTGAATAATCAATTCCATTAGTTCTCATGACTTGACTGTGAATCGTGGGAGCTCAAATGATAGGATAGTTAAGGGGATGTAAACCTATGGATAGGGGATGCAAATTTAAATTTTTTTTTCTTTTAGTAGAAAAAATAATCCCAATGTTTTTAGAAAAAAATTTTTTTTTGATTAAAAATTCCAGCAAATGAACAATCTTTGTTACAGGTAAAATGAAATATGTTGTTGGATCTAGTGAAATAGTTGAATAATTTTCGTGCGATTTTTTCACCTTTATTTTTTCTAGGAAGACATATTTTCCCCTACTATTTCGAATTAGGTGTCATATCTGTTACACCACCCTCATTGAAAACCCATCCATCTCCAAAGAAAGAACCTTTGCTCTAGCCCAGATGTTAGTTTTACTCCCTTGTTATTTTCTAGCAAAAAGAATCCCTGGAATACCAGAATATCTGGATTATGAAAGCGACCGTGGTCACTTGCTTGAAGTCAGATAGACATTTAGGGAAAATAAAAGGTGGTCTCTTTAGTGACCATAAGAATCAAACAACCTATAATGCAGCATGCTATGACATCAAAAATTTTCTTTAGATTTGCTTTAAAAATTTATCATGCACCTTTTCTCCCCCACTACCAATAAAACTTTAGTTTTTGGTCAAAGACTATTAAGTTATAGCTATTACAAATAATCATTTTCAGCGATGGCGAAAATCACGATAAAGTTCCTCCAAATCATATAAAAGTGTTGGAAAGTTTAGCCACTATTCTTGACTATTTATCTACTAATTTATCTACTGAAACTCCCTTTCCTTATTTGTATAAACTTGAAAAAAACTGGTTTAGAAATTAATCGACAAAAATACGCATTTATTACAGACCATTTTGTAGGAAAATAAACTGTTATTAGGTGTGTCACAATTTTTTCCCACATGTATAGTTATAGTAAATATTAGACCATCATAAATGTTATCATTTAATCTTTAGAAATAATTTTATTCATGCTCTCATTGCAATTTATGTTGAGTTTTAGAACTTTGAATGGGCTTTTCACTTATGCTCTTTTTTATCCCTTGGTCTCTTAGACCGGTGCATAAGTGAGAGTTCATTGTACATAACTATTATAATTTTATCTCAGCACATTTTATGTAAGCTAACCGTAACGAAATGATTGAAAATTGTTCTTAAAAAAATTAACTTACGAATACAGACATAATAAGAATTTGCAATAAATGAGGCGTAATTTTAATTCAGTGTGCGTAACCAGATTTTTCCTCAAAAAACAAGCACCTTTAAAGTATTTTTTAAGCACTCAGAAAACTTTTTTAATCACTTTCTAAAAAAAAAAAAATCATAACTGGGATCTATGCAGTAACAAAAATTATTTTTTTCTATCCTTTTAAAGTTCTTAATTTATAAACATAAAATCAATAAAATTCAAAAACTTTACATAATCAAGATAAAATAACTAGTTTCTGATAAACATTGCAGAGAAAATTATAAAAATCATGAATATTTTGTAATTTAGAGCGACAATCGATATCGCAGAGAAAAAATCTCTTCTTAAAAGATAAAAAATTAAGCACTTTTTACTAACATTAAATAAGTAAAGCACCTTTAAGGGCTTTTAAAAAACGTAAATCAAAAATTAGCACCCTTAAGCACTTTTTAAAAAGGCTACGTACCCTGTAATTGTTAACAATATATAACGATAACATTATTCTATAACAGTTCGCATTGGAAACAGTTATTTCTCTTCAATCTCTGTATTTTTTGAAATGTCGATATAAATAATAAGATTTATATTTGGCAACATCTTGTCTCTCTTTTTTTTATTTGTTATTTATTCTTTTTTTTTTGTTACTGTTTACATCAAGACAAGCGGGATATATACTTTCTATTACAATGGGTAAACAATTATTATTTAAAAAAAAAATTATAAAAAAGCACAAAAATTTGCATTTAACTTTCGACCAAATTGGAATATTGGAAATTTTTTTTTTCTCGGTTATTTTATAACTTAAATTGATCCTATCAGCACATCGAATTTCAACTATGTAGTTGTATTTCAACGGGTAATAGATCGGCCACTTTTCTTTTACTACAACTTTAACAGTTAATAATATTGGAACTAAAAACAGAATCGTAAATTTTTTATTTCATCAAACTCTTTGTACATTTTTTTGCACACTTACGCAAATTCAAGTAAAAAGGAAAGTAGGGAGTTAAAATGTAATAAAAGAGTGGGAAAATATTCTCAAACTTAAAATTGCAAATTTTTTTTTTAACAAATTAGAGTTTCAAAAGAAGAAATCTCCGTGTTAAATTCATGAACAAATATGCAGCATTTAACAATTAAGACTTTTTAAACTAATTACACCGATAAACGCATTTTAAAAAGTTGCAGATATCTTGATATTCAAGGCATTTTCGAAAACAATTGAAATATGCTGATTCAAGATGTGGAAACCATTTATTTCTAACGTTTATTAGATATACTTCTTCAACCATTAATATTTCACTTGAATTATTTACTGTTACATTGAGCAATCATTAACATGTTATTAGCTAAGAAAATATGGAGATTTAAGTCCCATAAGGTAGATACTACACAGAAATGTCTTTCTTTTTTTTCCAATGCCCACCTTTTTAGGATGACCCACCTGGGCATCATACAGGCATCTAAGGGCAAATTTGTTGGCCACTCTTTCAGGGGCACCATATTAGGTGGGCCAACGTTGCTCCCACAGTAAGGACAGATACTACATAGAAAGAAAGAACATCCATGCCTTGTCCAGGATTCGAACCTAGAATCTTTCAGATGCAAGGGCGGTTCCCTAACCCCTACACAGGCCGGTCGTCGGCACAGAAATATCTTAATTAGGACAAAATCCAAACATACTGAAAACACTTCATTTATTCTTTTCTTACTTTATATGAAGTATAACCTTAGATTAATTCTTTTAATTGAAGGTATACTTCAATGTTGTTTTGCGTTCCAAGGTTGGCATAACATCTTTAACGTCCACACAGTAGCGAATGGCCAACGGAGAAAAAAACACAAGAAGAGAAAGCACCAAAAAGAATCCAGAAAAAAAAAGGATCACTTTAACACTTATATGAATTTATCATACGATTCGATTTGGGCCGTTGAACCCGAATTTAATGAAATTTAATATTTATTTTAATGGAATTAGATCTTTTTTTAAAAAAAAAATAATTAAAGTATGTGGCTTAGTTTGAATTTCAAGAAAGGAACTTTTCGCACTTCATGCTACTTGACTATATGTTTATTATTCTTAAGAAGCTCCACAAATTTTTCTGAATTTCAATAATTACACCTATTGTATTGTGATAAAACTATGCACAGTGCGAAAAAAAAATGAACCACCCTAAGTAACTTTTGATCTAATGATTGAATCTTCATGTTCTAGAACTCAATCTTAATGGCTCGAGGGGGTGACCTCAAATATGCTAATTAATAAGTGCAGACAATATTTTAAGTTACGAAATAGGACACGGACTCTGAATAAACATACCTTTTCTTGACGTATTCGGATTTCTGACCCCCAAAATATAGGGGGCAACCGCAATCTGGGAAATATGGTCCTAATAGTTTGGTTGGGAAAACGCTCCAAAGTTTGGTCCCATTAATGTTGATTTTACTTTTTGTATATTTCGCAATTATAAAATTCGCTTATCTAAAGATAACTCCATGCAAAAAATAACTTTCAGTACATATTTATTACTTTTTATTGTAGTATTTAATAATGGACGAAGAAGTTTTGAATTGTAAGGTATACAAACTTTTGTATCATTTTAAAGAATGTAATTTTACAAGGCAAAATACAAAATTTGAGCAAAATCGGTCAAATACTTAATGAGAAATCAAATTTTAAATATCTGACTTATTTGAAGAACGTGATCCGATCATTAGATCAAAAGTTATTCAGGGTGGTCCGTTTTTTTTGGCGTACTGTACAATCATTGCTTTTCCCACTAGACATTAATTTACGAAACATTTTCATATTTTTTGTTAATATTTTTAACTTGTCCCAAAATTAACCTATTCAGAATTTTTTAGTAACAAATACATTACGTATATTGACACTATTAAGTATATTATATAATTCCCAATTAAAAAAAAATCAGGATACGAATTAAAAGACTTTTTCCTCAAACTTCAAATTAAGCTTTATATTAATTACATTCGAGTAAATGTTTACCTACATTATTCATGCTTTTTACAGCTTGAATTAAATTGGTCATTAAATTCAAGCAAATGTAAAAGTTGTGCTTTTTTTTTTAAAAAAAAAACTGTTAATTTTTCCTTGCTTTTAGTGCCAGCGACAAAAATGTGTATTGAGTTTCTTCGGCTTGCCCGTCTGGCCAAAATGATTTTCTCAGTATGTATTGCATTAATTTCTTCAAACCATTTTAGTAACGATAATAATATAAAAAAATTAAAAGCATTAAAAATTTACTCCAATTATTAGTTTCTAATAATCTTGGCTTCACCGGCCATCGGTGACCCCCATGGCATTCAACGTGTTAATGTAGGAAGATAAGAAATTCGTAGCATTTCATTCTTGTTTGTTTGTGAGTAATGTAATTTAAAGGCATTTTTTTCAGCATCTTCAACTGTGATAAAAGTGGAACAAAAAAGAAAAAAGCAAAGAAAAAAACAAACAAACATTTCTCTCCCAATTTTAAGTTTTT